AAACGAACCCTAAGTTCTAACTCGTTTTAGGTTCCGAGGTTGTCATCCAAAACGACGTAAAACCTCTTATCTCTGCAGGCTATTTGCATAACCAGTTATTATGCAAGTATAAGTCCCAACTCCCAAACAATATAATTGACAAGATTGAATACTCAAATAACATCCTCTCTAAAACACAGCAACGCATTAGGATAGTTTGAGAAGTAACTGAAGTTTCTCCTTAGGATCTGTGACATCCCCCTATCTTTTACTTTCTTTGAACTCATGAAAGAATTGTTCCTACTTGAGCAACTCTCATTTGTTTTTCCACGTCCTATCGTGAAAACCTAAACTTTGAATTCCTGAAGACTAGTACTACTGATCATTATCGAGAGTTTTTTCAAGTGACTCCCCTCATTTGGGATGTAATTAACTATAAGAGCTTGCCTCTATAGGGAACTTGGAACCCAGGTAAAATAAACCCTATTTAATCTTTGTATTAAAAAGAAGAACTTGTCAGTCACACATAAACGGTTTGCAGACCAAACAGATATCACAAATCTCTTAGTTTGCAGGATTGAGTCTATCGTCGGGGTCTATACTTATCTCTCGGAATTTGTAGTATTCAACATACTGGGCATAATTATGCAAACTATTATATGAATGAGATCCATTCGGTCTCATGAAATACTAATTTCATAATTTAAACTATATACCTTATATTTAAATTAAATTTTCGAAAATTGTATTTTCAAAATGAAATCGAAAAATTGAGCGACAATTATATGCTATCTAAGCTCAGTTTGTGATTCAACATCTCATCGATCGCTTCTTTTTGTTTATGTGTTCTTTCTACCAACTCCTTAATCATGGCTATGTTACAAATGATATCATAATTATGTGAATGATTGGGCAACCTCACATCATTCACGCGACAACCCAGTTCACTTTGACTGATCTCTTCTAGTTGTTATTACATTTCAAAATGAGAAAAGTGTCAAAATGGTACCCTGACTTTTTCTAGGGTTTCATTTTAGTCCCAAAGTCTATAAAAGTGTCAAATTAGTCCTCAAAATTTTTTAATGTGGGCTAAAATAGTCCACCTTAGGGACGATTTTAGCATATTAAAAGTGTTTGAGTATTAATTTTGCACTTTTATAGACTCTAGGACTAAAATAACCCCATATAAATAGCCTGGGACTATTCTGGTGCTTTTCTCATTTCAAAATTGAGACAAACAACTCCAACTATACACCTATCACATCTAATCACGAAAGCTCCATCCATCCCATTAGCCTTACCAATCCCACTATGTTATTGGGAATTTTGACCAGTCGCTTTTGAGTAAGCCTCAGTTTGATAGTGTTGTTGAACTTCATTATAGTTTTGCATTTTTGTAAGGCCCAAATTTTATTTTGAGACAATCCCCATTCTAAAATGGCGTTTGAGTTTGAGCATGTGCTCATGTTAAAAAATGATGTTGAGATTGTTTTGTGCTTGCTTGTTGATGTTTCATCACACTAGAACTTAAAGCTAAAACTTGTGGTTGAGCTTGAATAATACAAGCCTCTGCTCACCATTGTTGTTTATCAGCATCTTTTGACGGAGATCCAGAATGTTTCACAACATATTGGTCTAGTTTGCTTCATCACCAATTGCACTAATTGACTTTATTTTACCACTGATGCATTGCTTGATGAGTTTTTTTTTTTTTTTAAATTTTGGTGATCCTTATTTCATTGGTATGATTTATGGCAACATTCAAAACTAGAGCACCTATTTCTTTTATTGGTACATATTCTGTATATGTTGCTATTTTATGAGATGCCTATGTGCCAGTTCAACCTCTACTGCCACATGGTCATCGCCTTTAAATTCTTTTGAGAAATTTGTCTTTTAGCCTAGATGAATTAATGTAGACTTATCTTAACCATTAGTTTTTGTTTGATCGGATCATTATAAGCTCCATGTTTTCATGTTTATTGCTTGTCAAAATAATTTAAGCATGTTTAAAATGCATTCCCAGATTAATTGATGTATGTTTATTCTATGCCAAAATAATTTAAGTATGTTTATATAATTGATTCTACATATTTGTTTCAAAACATATACTGCTAAATTGAAAGCGTGACTGTCTGAAATCTCCAAACTAGATGTTAGCTGGTTTGTGGATGCTGGAACTGTTGTTACATAACGGCTATGTCATTTTTCATTAGCTTGGCGAGGACTTAGCAAATTAGTCTAGTAATTAGTGGATATTACGATATCTGAATTCAGAAGTGGTACCCTTTGTGTGTAGAAGAACTTGTTGTTTTTGAATTTATAATACCTCTTTTTTGTGGCGCCTCACTTGTAAATATCTTGAATCTAAAAAATGATAGAATATGTCTTGTTTTTTGTTTTCTAATAACGTGCAAATGCAGAAAAGTTGATCTTATTTTCTTCTTTCATAAAATGATTGCCCAAGTTTTCTTTTACTGAGGGATTGTGTGTACTATAATGTTTTATTGATAATCTTTTCTTATGTCATATTGCTTTTGTACTTTTTAGGATTTGTTTGGGGCAGTTATTACTGTTTTGCTATTCAGACTGTTGCCACATTTTTGTTTGGATGTTATTTTTTGTGGCATTTACATACATACCACCCATTTTTTATTTAACATATCTAACATCTAAACTTTATTTTTTTACATTAATACCATCCAAATATTTCATATCACATAAAAATACCATCATTTTAACTTTTAAAAAGTGAAATACATCTTTTCATGAATAGGTTCTGGCATCTATGTAAAAATTAAAGTTTAGGTGTTAAATTCGTTAATACTTTGGAATTAAGTGGTATGTACGTAAATCTTCTTATTTTTATTTACTGTTTTCATAATTTTTTATGGAGTGAAGCTTCTTTTTAGAATCAAAACTCTTAAGAGTGCGATAGTTCTAAGAAATTTATTATATGATTTCTTATTTTTTTTACTGTTTCATAATATTTGCAGCAGCTTTCAAATAATTTAATTTTCTTACAGCAACTCTACACCTACCTTTTCAAAAATCTGCTGCCACTCGAAATGGATCCATAGTTTTTCAGCCTATCACTGTTTTGTTTAATGGTTGTAAAATGTAAAGTTGCCTCTTTCCTGTGCTATAACTGTATTTAGGTTTACTTTATAATTTATTGTGTTTATTGAAGTGTGCTAATGCCCTCAGTAGATTCGATGTGCTCTTTTACTGGTTTAGCTTGCTGTTACTTGGTTTTATATAGTTCTGAATTCGAACATATAAATGGGGCTAACATGGTTTCTCATGTTGGCAGTATGATGAAATGTACATTAATAGCATGGACCGTTACAGCTGAAAGTCCTGTTTAGTTATGGTATCGAAGAGCTAAAAGACCATGGTTATGCAATTTGGGTAATACAGAGGAGTAAGTTAATGATGGGGCAGAATTCATCTGTTATGATAGTTAAAGTAGATTTGATATGAACTAAAAATAACTAAACATGTTATAACACCTATTTACTTTTTGGCCTTTTGGGATCACATTTGATTTTTTGTTTTTATTTTTAATTTTTAACTTTTAATTTTTAATTTTATTCATATTTTTAATTGAAATAACATCTGTTTAATATGTTATAACATGTTTAGTTATTTTTATAAATACTCAAAATAACTTCTACATGCTTTGAATATTTCTAAAATAAAGCATAAACAAAAATAAAATACAAATAAAAATGTTTTAAAACAAGCCATTAGTCCGAGAGATTGTTTTTTCGTGACTAACAAAAGACCTTGGAAAGCCATATCATTTACTTAACCTGAAGGAACTTGCTTTCTTAAAAATGCTCGTCATACTGATCATTTTGCAAAGGACAGGTATAATCTTTGTAGGATCTGTTTTTGGATGGATGCCATTCTACTATTGCATTCTTAAAGTATGTTTTGGAGAATCTAACTTTTGTGTTGTTTGACTATGTTCATCGCAGTCGTCAAAGTTAGCGAACAATGGTCAAAACTATATATACCCAAATTTAGCACCTAGTGAACATGGGACTAGGTGTGTAAACGAATGGAGCTCAAGCCATTCTCAACTTGAATTTAAGCTTGATTAATTAATCAGCTCATGAGTTGGCTTGTTTATCATGAAAGAGAGAATTTAAGGTAGTGTTATAATAAAATGATAAATAGAATAAACAATTACTTGGAGATTAAACCAAAAAAAAAGAAACCACCTATCATAAAATATAAAAGATTATTTTGAAGCATATTGAACAATTTAAAAATATAGTCTTGAATTTTAATATATTTTCAGTATATTTTATTTTAATATTTTTTTAAATGAACTGGCTCACATGCTAATGAGTCAAGTCATGGCTGGCTTGACCTTGGCTTTTAGTTCATCGAGCTCAATTCACAAAGCCACTTAACGAGTTGAACTGGAGCCGGCTAACGAGTTAGCTTGGCTCAATTACATCCCTTCACAGAATACAATGGGAAATAACTCTGGAAACTGAAGAATATGGTAAGCCATATAAGAAATTGCAAAGTTTAAAAGAGAATAAGGAAACATGCACCATCAAAATTAAACTGGGATAAATGGCTTCTTTCTGCTTACTCCATTGCAATTCTTCTGGTTGACTCATGCACGAGTGATTAATGTGCATAGATGATTTATGCTGGAACCAAACACTTCTGGCGATGAAAAGCTTTATTTATCGGTTTGTATTTGGGGTCCCTTTGATACAAAGAATACTTTTTGAAATATAAACAAATTTGATCTCCTCTATTAACCTAAGCACTTATGGAATTTGTAGAAACAATTCTACTCCATGACATGCCCTTTTGGTCAATTTATATGGGATTGAACATTTTGATCATGTAATTTCTTTTTCCTCTCCGAGGGTCGTTAGCATTGTTAAATGGACACATTCGTTTTTACTTTAATCTACTTTCAAATTTGATAGGCAATCTGTACCTTCCATGTACAATCAAACTGCTATCTGATTAATTTCTTCTATGTACAGCATTTCAGTTTTCTTCTTCGCCAAAGAAGGTCTTGACTGTAACTTGATACCAACAAAGGATGGCTTGCTTGCTCCAGTAACTGTTTCATTTACGGATGGCCTTGGCCAGAAGTTTAATCAGTCATCTGGTACTGGAATTGACCTTTCCATGTTTGATGAAGCCGAATTGATAAAGGAGGGAGAAACAGATGTTTTCCCCTTAGTAATCAAAGCAGAAGCGTGCCCTGTTGATAAACAAGGATTGGAAGGAAGTCATCGTACAGTTACTCCAAACTCTCAGATAACTCAGGCCGTGTTTGAAAAGAAGGAGAATGGTGAATATCAGGTTCGGGTGGTGAAGCAGATCTTGTGGGTGGATGGAACCAGGTATGAGCTGCAAGAGATTTATGGAATAGGAAATTCTGTTGATGGTGACTTTGATGGGAATGATCCTGGCAAAGAATGTGTGATTTGTCTCTCAGAACCAAGGGACACTACTGTCCTCCCCTGCAGGCATATGGTAATTATTATCTTGAATTTCTTTTGTTCCCAAATTTCATAGTTTTTGTAATGTGGCTGAGATCTGTGCTTTGGCTTGCTAGTTTACTGTAGGGCTGTGAACAATTCAATTTTGAGCCGGTCCCCACTCGACTAGAAATTGAATTTGAATCGATCTCAAGTTAGCTCAAAATCAAAACGAGCTGGCTTAAATGATTTGATCAAATCTGGCTCAGAAGTTGGAAATAATTTGCTCATGTTGATTGATTCAGCTCAAAGCTACTGAATAAAAATTAATTTATAAAAAACAGAAATTATAAATTATTTGTACAGTCCATAAAAACAAAAATTTAATATAAATCAATTCAAAATAAAATCAAAAGTTTAACTTTAGCTAGTAAATTTTCACGGGCCTGATCCAATTTTATGGCACAACCACAGTTGCAGTATACTCAAGAATCAAGGTCTGTAGTTAATGCAAAGAAAAATTGAGAAAAGAGAAGAGGAAGATTTGGTGTTGGGAGAAAATGAGGATAACAGCTGATGAAATTGATGCCCAGAGACCCTAGGTGGAAGCAACAAAATATCAAGCAGCAGGGGAGGGGAAAAAGCCATAAAGAATTCACAAATTCACGGCTTGCAAATTAATGACTGGCTAGGGCTTTTTGGGAGGTTGGGAGGTTTGGACGTAAAGATCACTTGAATCCATTTTTTTGGGAGATTTACTAATTTGTGGAGTATCTCGCTTTCCATTATGTATCATGAGTTCACAAGAAAAGGGGAAAAACAACTAGAACTAAAATAAAATCCCTAGCATATTTGATATCTTTGATTTCGTGCCAACCAAAATATCGAGTATAGTTCAAGCTATGGTCTACTGCTTGCGCAATCTAAATTTTTATTTTGCATTCTACTAAACAAATTTATGTATAAATAAAAGAAAAAGTACTTCAAGCCACTCAATCTACATCTCAAAATAAACTTTGATCCCCGCTTTCATCCCAAGTTCATCTTAAGCCAAAATTTGAATTGACTTTTGATTACTTGACAATCTTCAAGCAAAACTCTAGACTCTATTTATTTGTGGGCTTAAAAGATTTATGACCTAGACTCACGTGAGGATTTTGTGTGGTTTTGGGTCAAATTATCCAGAGACATTAAATTTTAGATAAGACACTACCTAGAAATTTTGTTATTATTTTGTAAGGATTTTTTGATCTTGTTTGAGGCTGTTCATAAGTACAACCCTAATGATTAAGTGTTGCTCCCGATAGAGCGCTGAAGGTTCGAATTCAACATATGGTAGTAGTAGTTAGGTTATATATTTAGAAAAGCTACCATCCTTAATTTAAGAGCAGATGGTGGGGGAATGGTGACTACTCCGATCAGGGACTTATGATTTTGTCTTCTTGGGTTGTCATGATCCTGGTTTACTTAATCAAAGGAGATTATCAAGCCAACCTGACCGAAAGATTCTTGTCAGCATTTATGGGTTGTTTCTTCCAAAAGAACTTTGTAGATTTTTGGTAACTGTTTGTTTAAGGGGATAAATTTAAGTCAACATCAGTTTTTAAAGGGTTTTATGACTCATCCAATGCACCCAAATTTTCACGTCTCAAGAGGCAAAGCTATTGGCCAATATACGAGCTAGAATTGTGATCGTAATTTAATAGTTTTATTTGGTGGCAACATGCATCTAGTGCGGTTTTGAATGAGTCGAGTTTTTCAGAACTAGAAAAGCTCATTTACCTCCACATTAAAGACAAACAATTTGCTGTCTTCAGTCATCTGAAAAGTTGTGTATTTCTCTTCTGTAGAGCATAAGATATAGACTTAAGATCTACTTAGTGGCTATCCTAGAGGCTAGTGGATGGTTGAGACCCAAATTAAAATAAAATCTTTTGGTCATAATTTGACTTAACGACAACCATGCGGATAGAAGATACAAGATACGAGTTATGTATTTATTGGCATAAGATCATTTGAAATTGATTATAGAAATTCATCTGACATGACATTGCCTCTTCATGAATTTGGATTAATTTTAAATTTATCATCTTCGACAAATTAATGATGATGGATGCATTTTTACTATTTATTGTAGATGATGAAGATCTTAACATTTTAAATTTACATTTAAAATTTTAAGAGCTTTATTTCTAAAATGAGCTGATTCGGTTGAGATTTTCTATCAGACCTTGTCAATATTGCTTGCTTGCAACGATCAGATCTATGATTTGCATATGTTTTAATTTATTTTAAAAATTTATTCAATTCAAGTTTGTCAGCTTAGATATTTGTAATATAGTGGTTCATACTTGTGACTCGCTCGACAGCACTCCTACGTGTCATTTGTTTTGGTTTTGAAAATTTTGAATTGTGGCGTGCTTTTTAAAGCGAGGAGAGTTTGATTGAATTTTCTGTTGTTACCCGCTTAACATTTTTGGTTTGCAAAATTGAGTGTTTAGCATGTTGGTTGTAGTACATATAGCTATTTCATTTTGAGTGGAAACTTAAATATCATATCCTAGATGTACTCTTTCGTGTCATTTCCATGACTATATTCTTTCGAGTGGAAAAACGTAGTTCCAAGCGATTCTTAGGTTGATTTGCCTTCAATGTATGTATCCGACAATCTTATTGATATGATAATTGAAATGGATAAAATCAGATAGAAAACACCCAAAAGGCCTAACATGTATCTTTCATCTCAATCTGTGATTATAGATCATCACTTACAACTATATTCATGCTACTGATGAAGTAAATTGTTCCCGTATACATGGTTTGGCTGATACAGCCAACTGACCAGCTTGTTAGATAAAAAGGAAAATTTTCATACAACACACAATTCTTATTATTTACATAACTAACACTCAAAATTTGATATTTACACTTATAACACTTTAGTGTTATAAACCTATGCATGAAAGGGTATATCTCTCATTTTAAAATGTAGCGATAATGCTTTATTTGTAATATTTTTTATGTAAGATGTTTAGATGTTAGATATGTAAATACGTTAGATTTCGGTGGTATGGCATGTATGTAAATGAATCCATTTATAATGAAGTATTGAAAATCTAAATAACCATATGACCTAAATCTACTAAGGTTCTGAAATATTATGCACCAGGATTGAAATGAGTAGAACCTAAATCAGGAGTTTAATCAAACCGAGTCAAATCGAGTTACGGTTCGTTGCCGATATGTCAATTACTTTTCTTTCTCCAATACAGTGCATGTGCAGCGGATGTGCCAAGGTTCTTCGTTACCAGACCAATCGATGCCCCATTTGCCGGCAGCAGGTCGAGCGGCTGTTGGAAATAAAGGTTAGCAACCGGAGCGAGGACGAGCAGAACTCGAGGGCAGAAAGAAGTGATCAGCAGTCACATGAGACTTGATGCTGAAAGTTTAGCCTTTATCTGGGTGAAATCTACTTAAAATAATCCACTCAGTGGTGAAATATGTAAATTTGTCTATTTCAGTTCTCAAGGGTGATGCTTGTTTGTAAGAAATTTGTTTCCGATTAATAGAATGCTTGGTTTGTTTGATTTCTAAAGCTTCAACCGGGTGATCAGCTGGACTGCTATGAAATCAGCTAAAGCTAAGGAGATGAGTTTGGGGACAGGTAAGATTTGAATTTTATAAATTTAAATCACTAAAATAGTTTTCCTTCAATGTAATTTTAGAGAAATTTACACTTTTTTGTATTTATTTTGTTAATATATTATAAAGTTCTTCGCTGTTTGATTTATGACGTGTTCTCATAGTAATATATAGCATATAAATATGAGCAATATGATTAAATCATGCAAATCCTCATATGTGAAGATTCTAAAGACTATCTAATTACTAATGAAAATGGCTTTCCTCTTCCTCTTTTGTCTTTTTGCCAATAAATTTATAAAATAAGAAACTCGAGGAGACCTTAAAACTCTTACCTTCATGTGAAAATAATTTCAGAAAGGAAAATAAATAAGTGGGTAAGTGCAATCTAACATGTAAAATGAAGATGTAATGATGTAACCATTTGGTGTCGTAATATATAGCATGTAAATATGAGGAATATCATTGAATAATGCAAATTCACATGAGTGAAGAGTCTAAAGAAATACTACATGATGTCTAATGAAGATAAGTTTTCTCTCTTTCTGGTCTTCTGGACAATAGATTTATAGAATGAGAACCTCGAGGGGACCCTGAAATTCTACATTTATGAGAAAACAATTCTAAAATGGATGATATGTAAGGGTGTAATGGCAATCAAATTTTATAAAATGAAGTTGTAAAAGTGGAATCATTTGGTGTAGTAATTTATAACATGTAAATAGGAGGAATATCATTAAATCACGCAAATCCACATGTGTGAAGGTTCTAAAGAAATACTATATGATTTCTATTGAACATTACTTTTCTCTCCCTCGCCTTTTTGCCAATAAATTTATAAAATGACAACCCTAAAGAGACCTTGAAATTCTACATTCATATATATATATATATATATATGTAAGGGTGTAAGTGCAACCAATGGAAGATGAAATGACTCTTCATTTCAAAATTCTATAAAGTATTATGGGGTTTCAAAATGAGAAAGAAAATGCAAACCGTATCTGAAAGTTGACTTCATGATGTAATGTTGATTGTTCATGTATCACTAAAGGATGAATGACTGAATTGTGTTAGCTTTCATATAGCTTGGACTATTTTTATTAAACACTCAGAAGATATGAGAAATCTCTTGACATGCAGTAGTTTTATTTGAAAGACTTATTTAGTCGTCCTATGAGGAATCCATTGATTTTTGGTAGAAACAAATATCTCTAAATTTTATCCTCTATTACTTATGTATTTATGATTTGATGGAACTTAATACTTCTTTAAGTCTTAGAATAATAATTATGCTACTCAACACCGTCCAAAGACATCATAACACCAAAAACCCACCTTGTAACACCTTAATATGGCTTTATAATCACTATTGCATCTAATCATTGTAACTTTGATGAATCTCTTTCAATGCAAGCCATCCTAATTTGCAACACATCTTGCACCAATTAAATGGTGTATTTTTATCGACCTCTCATGTGTGTAATTTATCTTATAAAACTTAGTGCCATAAAAATTCATTTGACACAATAAAAAAAGAACTATTTAAGTCAACTGTTCTACCTTATGAGGGCATCTTCTCTTAGATCTTCTCAAAAGGTTTAGATATTCTAAATCTGCTAATGTAAGCATTGATTTGAAAGTGCGTAGGCATATTTGCAGAACCAATAAGAAATTCAGTTTTTGTAGATGGTTGTTTGCTTCTTTTATTATTATTATTTTATGTTCTTTAGGCCAAACTTTTAATATCCTTAGGCCAAACTTCTTACACTCGCAAGCAATTTTGTGGTCTAACACTTTGTGAAACATCTCAAGTATAAAGATGTTAAACTTAAATATCTAGATGGCTTCTAGTATAACAGATGAAAATTTTATTTATAATTTCAAATTTAAATTTGCTCATATAGGATCACTCCTGAGATGTTCCCTTATGGAAAATTATATAAAATAGACAAAAATATGAGGTCATTAGATCAATATGAGCAACATCTTTTTAGTTGAAAGTTTGGATTGTTATATATGGTATCAAAACAATATCCCAACACAAAGATGAGAACCAAGTATTATGCATGTTGCATGTTGGGAGCTATCTCTTAAACCCTTGGGAGCCATCTTTGAAAATCTTTTTGTTTGATGAATGATTTTGAATTATTTGTAAACATACTAACGTGAAAGTCATTAAATTAAGTGAGCAAGATTGTAATACCCCTGATGTTTAATCAGCTAAAATTTTAAATGTTGACGAATATTTTGGTGTAATTGTTAAAATTTTACTAGAAATATTGATATTAAGCATACATGAGCACCATTGGGATGAGCGACCTTCTAAAAATTAATATCAAAAGAATAAAACCATATGACCATTGAGCCCATACAAACAATATCTCAGTGGTTGAGATTTCAAACCAATGAAGGTTGAGAGGTCGGGTTATTACTGACAATCAGGTCTAGCATGTAAAATAAACTTATTATTTAAATATATATATATATATTATGGTAGATGAGATACAAGCTGATAAATTTCATGTTGACATGAATTTTTATACACGTGTCTGTATCATCTAAAAGAGGGTGTCAATGATTAATCTCTACTCATTTATTGTATAATTCATGTTATCTTATTCATTATACACTTGAAACACAAAATAGTTTCAAGTGGCTGAGTAATGACTGCTTTGTGTGATAAAAATAACTATGATTAATGGACCTAAGAAACAAATAGTTAACTTTATTTCGTTAATACTTAATTACAATTATAAAATATAAAATAATTAAATACAAAAAAAAAGTTTAAGGTTTCTATATCATAGAATTGAACAAATTACGTAAGTCGCTATTAAATATGAGCAATAATGAATAGCAATATTCTCAATAATTGTTGGATGACATTCTTAAACATGATTCAAAGGGTGTTTGAATACAATATTTTTATATATTTCAATTACAATTGATGCATATATGTTTAATTATTAGTCTATTTACTAATAATTAAAGGACATCAATTTTAAAGGGTCCTCTAAAGCATATATTTTGAGAAAATGTGTAATTCATATTAATGTAAAATATTAAATGGAGATGATCATTGAAGAGATCATTTCTTTAACATAGTTACATATTCCCTTAAAATTTTTAGATAGATCAACAATAAAAAAATGATATATTTTGACTAATTTCATTAATTTTTATTTTCACTTTTGCATATCATTGCTCATATTATTTTATTTTTTCAATTTATATTTACACATGCAATCAATTTATAAATACTAATTTTTTTTTCTTATGATTGCTCATATTAATTTTACTGATTTGTTTTACCAAATATCTTACAATAATTAAAAACAAATCCATGAAGGCCTCATTTGATTGCTTGAAAATTTAGTTCTATAATAAACAGACAATAAATTTATTTTTGATTTACAATCATTATTATTATATAAAAAGAAAATAATCTTGATTGAATGCTTTATAAATATTATTCTTAAAATTTAAAATAAATCAGCATTTCTAATCTCACCAAAATTAATCACATAAATTTAAATCCATAGTTTTTTTTGTTAATTAATCAAATTATTCCTCAACTAAGAAATTCAAAAAATTAAATAATAACAATAATAATAATAATAATAATAATAATAATAATAATAATAATAATAATAAAATTCTTACACCAACCCAACTCCACCGAAGCCACCAATCGTAGTCCTCAACTACTACGAGGGTTGGTGAGGTGAAGGAGCTGCTTCAAATTCCCCACCAATTCCTCTATTTTGATACCCAACCTTTAGCATTTTGCTCACATCTCTCATTCTCTCTCGCTCAATGGCAACGGCAGGGGCTTCAATGGCTTGCCAGCCCTTTCTCAAGGGAAGCAGATCCGATGGCGGCGTTGGCCTCGGCTTCAGTGCTTCGGATCTGCGGCGTTTATCAGCTTCATCCGCGGTCCAAATCTGTATCCGGAGTCAGCCTCATCCGTCCCGACGGCTAGGTCTTTCTTTCCCCCAACTTCTTCTACGAATTCGATTTTCACCACCTTTGCGTCTTCTGTGTGTAGAATGAGTTTCTGTAATCAATTATATGCATCTTTTCGGGTTGATGATTTGATTTCCTTTTATATCTGATTGATAAATTTTGTATTGCATTGGTAAGATTTCTTTTCAGCGATTACGAGATGTTGTAGGATTGCAGGACAGAATCTGCTTCTTGCTTTGGCTGCCGATTAAGAAAAGGAATTGATTTTCTTTATAGGATAATATCCGATTCATAATGAACTCAACTTTTATCTCCCTCGTCTTTTGACCAATAACTTCTAAAAATGAGAAGGCTGAGGAAACCTTGAAATTATATATTCATGCGAAAACAATTCCAAAATGAAAATTTGTAATGCTGTAAGTGCAATTAAATCCTAGAAAATGAAGATATAAAAGAGGAATCGTTTGGTGTAGCAATATATGGAACGATTTACATAGATACCACTGTATTCCTAGTATTATTACATATGTAACACCTAAACTTTGATTTTTACATACTTACTACCTTGCTCATGCATGAAAAGATATGTATGTAAATGCCCATAGTATATAATGTGTAAAAATGAGAAATATCATTCAATCTTGCAAATCCACATATGGGAAGATTCTAAAACAAAGACTATTCTTAGCTTTCAAGGTTGCATATTGGAGAAAAAATATTATACTTGTAAACATTTTAAGCATGCTCGAGCAATTTCCATATCAGCATAGAGCTTCCCGAGTAGTAACACTTGCATATAAAAGACAAAAAGTGAAGTTTTTGGAATTTAACGATCACATTTCTTGTAATATAGAATGGTGTACTGCTTTTATGATACCTGTATATTTCTCTCTTTTCTTTTCCCTTATCTCCACCTGTGTAGTGGATCAACAATGGCCATCTTATTTCAGCTGTACTACTGGACTTAAATGCAATAGAGTAAACTTTTCCCACCAATTTCCTGCTTGAAGGTGTAAGGGGCTTGAGACATCTAAATTACAGTAGTTTTAATCGTATTTTTTTTTTGACCTAATTATTTCCTGCAGATACTAGCTTGCCATTTTTCGTTGGTAATTTATGTTTCTTATGCTACATGATTATTTTCAAGTGGCATAAAGGATGCGTTGTTTTTGCAAGTATTCTGAATTCATTCTTTTTGAAATTGTAGAGGTGAAAGCCATTGGAAACGTCTTTGGAAATTTCTTCAAAGTTGCAACTTGTGGTGAGTCTCATGGCGGAGGTGTTGGATGTATAATCAGTGGTTGCCCACCTAGAGTACCCCTCTGTGAAGCTGATATGCAATCAGAGCTTGATAGAAGGTAAATATTGCTCTTTTACACAAGTGTGGAATTAGATTTATGTTCAGGGTGGGCAATTGGCCAATGTAGAATTTGAGATTTCTCTATATAACCTCAAGATATCTTTTTGCCCAAGACTTATATATATATATATATATATTTGGTAATCTTGCCCACCCAAAAATATAAAGTAGGTTCTGGCCCAACTTTTACATTTTTGTAAAAGCCTTCTCTATTATCTTCCTCTCTTTCTTTGAAAATTTCACACAAAATTGTTGAGTTCTTTATAAAGGAGGCCAGGTCAAAGCCGAATAACTACTCCAAGGAAGGAAACAGATACATGCAAAATTTTTTCTGGAATTTCTGAAGGTTGTATCTCGTAGCTTTTATCCTTTTAAATCTTTGCAAATAACAAAATCTTTCGCTTCAAGAGTTTAATAGTTTGGTCTGATGTGATACGATTGTGCAGGAATGACTACTGGAACTCCAATCCTTGTTTTTGTTCCAAATACAGATCAAAGAAGTCATGTAAGCATTCACAATAAAGTTTAATCCACTATTCATTTCTCAATTATCATCTTATGTGAATTTTAGGTAAATATACAATTAAGGATAGTTTTTTGGTTGGTTCCGGGGTATCTAAAACCAAGAAAGGTGAATCAGTCCATGGTTTCAAAAACAAACAAACCTGATTGGCATAAATGAAAGAATCTAATTGTTGTCTTATTTTCTTTATTTATTTATTTACTTTTTTATTTCAAGCTATTTTATTTTGGAAGATTTACATACATACCACTCAATTATTATGTATTTACATATTTAACACTTAAACTTCAATTTTTACATTTATGCTTATCTATGTATGAAAATGGGTTTTTCACTTTTTTAAAAAAAGTTAAAATGGTGGTATTTTTTTATATGATATGAAAGGTTGGGGCTGTATACTTGTAAAAAGTAATATTTATGTGTTTGGGTAGTATACATATAAATGCCCATTTTCTATTTTATATATGCATTAGATATTAATTAGCCTTTTGAATTTTAATTTCCTAAAGGACTACTCTATATTAACATTTGCAGGACTATAGTGAAATGTCAATAGCATACAGGCCTTCTCATGCAGATGCCACATATGATTTTAAATATGGCATAAGATCAATTCAGGTATTTTTGGTTTATGATTTTAAATATAGCATTAAGAAGCATACATATTTTCTGTAAATTTTAGATTGCAAAGCATATACCATTGGATTTCCTTGGTGTTATATGTTCTATCATTGTGAAAATTAAAATGCAGGGTGGCGGCAGATCATCAGCTAGAGAAACAATTGGTAGGGTTGCTGCAGGAGCTGTTGCGAAGAAGATCCTCAAGATGAAATCAAACGTAGAGGTTATTTTCTACTTTTGTTAAAACATAGCACTAATTCGATAATGTGATAAACCTTTCATGACGATATTATTTCTTGTTATTTTACTGAAGTAAGGGAAAGGAAATCTCTATTTGGTTCTAATTTTACTACATCAATATTTTTTAGGCCATTTACATACATTCCACACAATTCTTATGAATTTGTATATCTAACACCTGAACTTTATATTTACATTCCTGTACACTCAAATCTCTAATATCACATAAAAAATGTTACTATTGCTTACTTATTATTATTGAAATACACCTTTTCATACATAGGTTTATGACACTATCAGTGTAAATATTAAATTTTAGGTGTAAAATATATAAATGCATAAGAATTGTATGTATGCAATTTCCCCTTTTTTATATTATGATTCCTAGCTATATTTTACTTCGTTGCTCAAGAAATTGTGGTCTCTCTCGCCTTTGTACACCTGAATAAATCAGCATTGGCTTTCTGGGCAGTTATACTGGCAAGTATTAATTGTTGGAAATATACCTTTTTTTTACTTTCACGGAACTTGGTCTTATCTCTGGTTTAGGGTTTGGATCATGCAAAACTTTAATTTAAGGCATTTTTTCCATAACTTAGGGGTCATTCATATACGTCTAAGCAATTGATAATTGTCATTTTTTATAGGGATTTACACACATCAATAAACAGTCGTATGTATGTAAAATTCCCTTTCTTCATTTACCAAAGAAATTACATAGATGGTTAGAAAGTCTTCCCTTCCATGTTTTTTACCTTTAGTCTGGATCTCACTCTTGTTACAACCCTAGGAAAGCAATTAACTTTTAGAATGTAAATACCACACAAATGTGTTTTATCAGCTGGTGGGATTAAGTTGTATAAACATAGCAAGTATGGATTTATATCACTGCTAATAAGCTTGTACAATGAATAAATAGGAAAATTTATATTTCTAGCCTATTTAAATGTTTTTTAATCATTACCAGAGAAAGGGTACATAGACATTACTCTGCACATCATCTATCTTTCTCCATTTAATAATATCAGCGGCCCTCAAGCTGGAAGAAAAGTAGATTTATGAACAACTTTTTTTACTGAGCATTAATACAAAGATGTCACAAAAATTTTAGCAATTTGACTGACAAGGTAATCATTTTTAGATCTTACCGGGCATTTGCATGAGGATGTACCTTTGTGCATGCTTCTCGCTGATGATATTCTTCTTGTGGATAAGACTAAAGAAAGAGTTCAGGAAAACTTGAATTATGAAGGTCTACATTGGAGTTCAAAGGCCTTCGTGTGAGTATATATAAAACTGAATACATAGAATGCAATTTTAGTAGTAGCAGCTCTAGTGGCAAATTTGTAACTATGGGTGATAAAATCATTAAAAGGTGCAATCGTTCTAGATATCTCGGGTCTACTATTCAAAGTGATGGTGATATAGATGGGGATGTTATTAGTAGAATTGAAGTTGGTTGGTTGAAGTGGAGGAATGCATCTGGCTTGTTATTCGATACAAATGTTATCTAAATCCACAAAACTTCAAAGTTCTTTAACTGTCAGCCGACTCCAGTGCTCATTCATGCTCTCCTTTAGTTGACGAACAAAGCCTTTGCTTGAGCTGCTTCCTAAACGTTGAGCTTACAGAGCTCAATCGAGCTCTTCTAAATGCAAAAAAAAACCATACAAGGCTTGATTAGGGCACAAAAAACCGTGATCCTCCTCCTTCGTCCAGGAAAGGGATGCTCGAGGAAGGCTTGTACAAGCCACTCGAGGAAGGCTTGTGCAAGCCCTTTGATCGTTCGTCTTCTCCCTTCCTCCCTCTTATATGACTCGTGACATTCTATGGAGCCGCTTAAACCATTAATGTGAACGTAAGCTCACGCTTCTCCTTTTTCTCCTCTTCCTCTCCTTCCTCCTCGTCCTTTTTTTCTCCTCTTTCTCCGCTTCTCTCACTTGATGCTCTAATGCGGTTGAGTGAGAGGAGACGTGGAGATAACCTTGCTTTAGACTTCTCGCAGGCGGTGGGTGAATAATCGAACGACACATGCTTAATAGTTGTCAAAATAGTAAATTTGTTTTAATTTTTTTTAATAATTATAATTTTGTTAATGAACAAATTTAAATGGGTATTATTGCACCTAGTTAGGTAGTTTGTAAAAGCATGCATATGGTGGAACAACAATAGCAACAAGCCTTTATCCCATTAAGTGGGATCGGCTACATTAATCATTTTTCTCCTGTCCTATTGAGTGTTGTTTTTTGATTAATTCTAAGAGATTAATATCATTTTTTATACAACATGCCCAAGTCTTTTTAGGTATACCTCTACCTTTCTTAAGTCAAATGAGGAGCTTTAGAATCATTATTTCCATAGGCAAAGGAGTTTAATCTTCCATCTACTCATCTTTTTAACTGCACTATTTTTAAGAGAAAATTTTAGTTTTCTTTCTCATATTTCTTGTCTGAGGTAGGTGCTTCAAAGTATTTGATCGGAATCCATGACTTCACAGCCCAAAAAGATGGACATTCTAATAAGAACAATCTAAGCTTTGCAAGGAGATTTTATGAAAGTTATTCTCAAACTTTTAGAAGTACTAAAAAGATAGAAGAATCTTTACCATCTTCTGTATTTCTGCACTTATTTTTTAAATAAGGCTTGAGGTTCCGATTTAAGCTATCAATGGGTTAATGAGCTACCAAGTTCTAGCTCTAAGTAAACCTCTTTTTTTCTCCTGTAAGATTTAGTCATTTCTGAGAATCTTTGGGGCATGACCATAACTAAGTTTGAAGCAAACCATTGGTTAAGCTAGTAAGCTTTGGCGATTTCTAATAAAATCTGGCATTGACTTGGATTTAATTTAGTAAAATCTTGCTTTTCTTAAATAATGTCCTATAAGAGGTTAAAGAGTTAAAATTGACTTTATTCTAGGTCTCTTGAAAGCCTATTGAGAGCCTTTTTCTGTTTGGGAAATTTTAGCTTCTACAGGAAACTATACATATTTAACTTCCTTTAGAGGGAATTTTTAGCTTCACAAGACGATGAATGTTGAACTTCTTTTGGAAATGGGAAAATTAAAGTTATAGTCATGATTTACTTGTTGACTTTCTAATATTTGTTTAATCATCCGAATCAAGGTTAGTAGTTTTCACACAGGGATCTTAAAGCTATAATGACTAAAATATTGTATAGAATTTTCCTTTTTACAATATTATTCCAGGGCGTCATATTATTTCAAATGAATATAGTAGCTGTTTTGTCATCTCGGGTTTTTTCAATTCATATGGAACGAGTTTTATTTGTCAATTTGACATGAGTAGCTTGAGAGTGTAGATTTATCATATTTCATTTTCCCATGTTTTTTTTATGCTGACATGTAATCAGTATGAAATTTGTTATCAAAGGTGATGAAGTAGCCACCTGTGATACTGAAGTGAGATTTATTGTTAGGATAGTGATAAAAAATCAAGAAAAACTAAATGAAGACAAATAAAAAACAGATCAAAGATCATTATAATGTCACACAGGTTTCACGGCCACATATAGATCACATAAATATCCCGCTAATCATTAAAAGAAGAGTAAATCAAATATTTTCTTATGCATATATAGATAGGAATGGATATATCACTATTGTGAAAATTTTTGAAGTGCCATTTTAGTGCTCAGTGTATGGATAGCTCTTTATATGATATCTTCATATGACCTTTTATGGAGGTTCACTTTTGCTTTGCAGAGCCTCTTTTTTTTTTTTGCGGGAATGAATTTTGTTAGTATGTAAGCTGAATTTTTTGCTCTTTTATTTGACAATTTAAAACATATTTTTCAAGCAACTTGCATATACAGTGGTATTTGAGTTGTATGTGTTTTATTTAGGAGTGTAAGGCGGCATTTATTTGCTGAGTGAATGATTCTTTGATTCCAATTGAATAGATAAATATTTTTTTTGTGATTGTTATGATTCCTTTAGCCAAATAATCTCATTTTTGGCTTCAATAATACCTCCATATTCGGCTTCTGTTCTTGACAATGCAACTATCTTCTACAATTATGATACTTAACTGATGGTGGTGCCACCTATGGAGTACTTGTACCCCATAATACTTCTTAATATATCCGGGCTTCCTCCCAAATTCCCATAAGCATATCCTTCTAGTTTTAGTTCAGCTCCTTTGAAATTTAATTAATGTTTTACCTTTTTGGTAGCATGTGATCCACTTTAAAACCTTCTAGTTTTTTTTTTTCCAGATTCAACTTATAATGACTATTTGTTATTGAATGTGCAATATCCAGTATTTTGCAAACCATTGTATGCATCATAAAGACAACTAATGAGTGGATTTTAAACATATATCCTTTTTCTCCATCAATTTTCAGTAGTAATTTTTTTTTGAGCTTGAATTGACTAGTCATTTTGGCTTTCGGTATATTGAACCTATCTAACATTTTCTTAATGTATTGAGATTATGACAAGTTCATAGTACATATAGCTTTGTTTTGATTTATTCTCATTCAAACAATTTTCTAGGCTTCCACTAGGTTTTTCATGTCAATTTTTTTCTTATAAATTCTCCTAAGATTGTTGATTTTAGCTCTCATAAACAATTTATTATTACCATATAAAAGTAGGATGATACAAGTTTTTTTTTGGCTTTTAACATAGCAATAATGATCAATGTTGCATATGCAAAAATCAATCTTAGCATGATTCTATTCAACTTCTGAGATCATTGGTGTAGTGCTTGCTACAAATTATTTAGGCCTTTATTGAGCTTGGAGATTATATTTTTCCAATCATTGTACCATGTATCTTTTATATGGAACCATAATGATGTCTTCTTTTAGATTGCCATACAGGAAAATAGTTTTAACATCCATTTGTTGTGGATGCAACTCTTTTGTAGCTATAAAATTCATAATTATCATTGTTTTGTAATTTTAATCATATAAGAGAAACTTCCAGTGAAATCATTACCTATTTTCACTATTAGTCTGATCTTGTAACTTTTGTTGTTCTTCTGAACCATTATTTATTTTGTAGGTTCATTTGTTTTCTTAAACTTTTTTTTCCTTAAATAGCTTAGTCAATATCCATATGTTATTTTTTATAAAAATTTATCCGTTTTTGTTAACTACCAGTTAGATGAAGATTTATTTTTTATAGTTTCTTGATAACATTCATATTCACTTTTATCAGTAAATAGCTGATTGACAAGTTTTGCAATTCTATATGATCTTGTGTGCTATGTTGATGTCAATTTTTATCATTTTCTTGTGTCCTCTTTATTTTTTTTTAAAATTATGTAGCTCTACTGATTGTACTTGCGCCATACCGGACTTTTTTTTTTTAATTTTACTCATCCTATCAATATACATTTCAGTTTCATTTCTGTTACTTTGAAAACAAAATTCTTGATTCTAATTATTTTTCTATTTTCATCTTCACAAAATTCATAGTAAAAGTCAGTAGTGTTATAATCAATAAAGCAACATTTTTACTATTTCGGTTAAGCTTATTTCTTCAATTATTATCCATGCGTACATAAAAGGCAATAAAATATGTTTCAAATGTTAGAGACACGTCTTCTTTCTCGTCCAGGTTCCTTCGAAAGTCCCAAAATTAAGCATTATAAATGCATCTTGATTGATTAGATATGTTGTTATATTTTCTGAATTAGCCCAAAATATTATTGGCAATCCAAGATGCAATGTGGTACTTTAAGCCCTCTAACTTAAAACTCCTATTTATTCTTTTAACAAATTCATTTTGCTGGGGAGTTCCTAGGTCCGTTATGTGCATATAAAGTCCATTAGCAGCCTAATAATTTTTAAACTTGTTGTCAACATTCTCTCCACCATTATTGGATTGTAGGCATTTAATTTTTTGTGCTGTCCCATCATTAACTAAAAATTTTTCATCTTATAAACTTAATAAAGACATTAAATTTATTTTTGATAAAATAAACCTATTTTTCTTATTTTTGGTAAGCTAAACGTACTTTTCTTATTTTTGATAAAATAAACACAATTCACTAAAAATTGGGTGTATTGCAGGCCCAAATTGTGTTGGAAGTCCAAATAATGCCGAAGATATCATGTTTAACAATTTTTATTTATATTCTTTTGGTTTTGGTTATTATTTAGCTTATTATAAAAATTATTTGAAACTCAATGACACTTACCCTTGGCTTCTACAAAGTTGCCATAAGGAATGTTATGCACAAGTAGTATAGGGCCTCCTCTCTATGCCAATTGCTAAGCAAGGTAGTCACGATATTTGTATGAAGCACTATCAAGCAGTGGCTTCCCACTTATGCGCATGTTAGTAAATTCAGCATTTTATAGGGTCCTTTGAGAAATCAAGACTGTTGAAATGCTCTGATTGACCAATTTATTCAGTCTTTTAAAATATACTTTTATTTTTTTGTAATTTTATTTCAATGTTCGTTCTTCATAATCTGTGAGATGGTATGTGATGTCATTTTCCAATATGAAGTAATGTTTAATATTTACTTATGTATCTATTGAAATTGCTGTAAAGAAGCTTTTATAGATTGATTAAGCTAAGGATCTACTAAAGGATGCACAAATTATATTTTTTATCTTGTAGATATTAGCTTATGTCTCCCAAGTTCATAAAGTAGTGCTTCCTGATGGAGTGGTTGACTATAATACTGTCACGGTAGATCAGGTATGTGATTTCTGCCTTGATCCATTTTTTGTAGAATCTCTAATGCACTTTTATTTACATTCTAAAACAATTTTATTGCATTCATTAGATAGAAAGCAATATTGTTAGATGTCCAGATCCAGACTATGCTCAGAAGATGATTGATGCCATTGATGATGTTCGAGTTAGAGGCGATTCTGTTGGTGGAGTTGTGACCTGCATTGCGAGAAATGTTCCACGTGTAAAACTTCTTTACTTGTGATTTTGTGATTCTAATGTTTTTGCGTAATATTTCATCTCAACCCATAATTTTGTGACAAGCTCTTAAGTCTTTCTTAGAAAACAATACCCTTTTACTCTTTCATAAGCAACCCTCTTTCTCTAAAATTGTTTTTTTTTTCTCGTTGAACCTATGATTGGGTGTTTGGGTTCTAAATCCATCTTACGGGCTGTCTGTTGAACCTATGATTGGGTGTTTTGGTTCTAAATCCATCTTAAGGGCTGTCTGGTAATGGATTTAAGTCGATTTAAATATGACAAACAGAAGAAGTGACACCTTTAAATCCTGGATTCCATAAATCTGGTTTCTTAGTTTTTTTTCTCAGTTTCATCTTAAATCCTCGATTTACTAAATTTTGCGTTTTAGTAAGACTGGATTTACAAAATTTACTGAAGCAGCTAAGGCTGTTACCATACTGGCCCTTAGTCTCTCTCTCGCTTTCTCTCTTCTATGGGTGTATATATCTCACAAAATCAACCAGCTCGCACACAATCACAGATGGTCAATTCTCAATTCTCCTTTTTCTCATTGCCAATTTTTTGCAGGGTCTTGGATCACCAGTATTTGACAAGCTTGAAGCAGAGCTTGCAAAAGCTATGATGTCACTTCCCGCAACGAAGGGAGTTCAATTTGGAAGTGGATTTTCTGGTAGATAACAGCGTACAGTTTTTTTTTTTTTCTCTATAGCTGAAAACTCAACTTTTTATGGGATTAATTAATCTTCAAAGCTTTTTAGGGCTACATTGTTTTTTTTTTAAATTAAATCTAAGGGAATATCTGATTCGTTAAGTGTAGTTTTTTAAACTTTTTCGTATTGAATTTTTTGTAGGTGTTTTAATGACCGGGAGCGAGCATAATGATGAATTTTACACTGATGACAATGGGGTAATTAGAACAAGAACAAACCGTTCAGGTGGTATTCAGGTTAGTTATTCTTACTTGAATTTAGAAGCTGTCTTTTAACCAAGTTCTGTATTGCCTTTTGTTTTGAGCTTAAAGCTGTCTTTTTTAACAAAATGGAAGATTTACATACATACCACTTAATTCCTATGTTTTTACATATTTAACATCTAAACTTCAATTTTTACATATGTGCCGCCTTATCTATGCATGAAAAGAATTATTTACTTTTTAAATGTAAAGAAGATGACATTTTTGATGTCATATGAAAGATCTGGGTGGTATAAATGTAAAAAGTAGAGTTTAGGGGTTAGGTACGCAAATACATAAGAATTGGATGTTATGTAAATGCCAAAAAAAAAAAAAAAAAAAAAAAAAAAAAGGCTATGGCTAATCTCTGCCCTTAGTGAGATGTACGTGCTAAGCTTTTGAGATACAATAATGCTTAAATTATTAGAGAAATTTTTTATTTCCACATTTGATTCGAAGCATTCTAAATACATATTTTTTTTCATTGATTGTATAAAATATACATTTTCTTCTATAATTTTGAAAAATCTATTTCAAGTCTTCTATTTGAGTTATAATTATCGGATTTTGATCATAGGCTTTCATATTTCCTCATTCTTTATTGTCCATACAATTTTGTGAGCCGCCTGATTATATGCTTTCTACTTTTGTTGTCAGACATAACTAAGGAGGTTCTTAAGCTAGGTGGTTAGGTTTTCTCTTTTTAATTACTAATTTCCATTCTTTTTTATTTCCATTTCATTCTTAGATTAACAATCATTAAAAATAGCTTTTAATGAATTTATTTCTCCATATATATATAATTTCTCCATATATGATGCTTATAACCTATATAACATCTTTATAAAATATGATCATTTTGTCTTTACTTTTTAATAAATTACATTATGTTTATATTTTTATAATCTTAGTATTGGATCACAACAGTTCTTTGAGTGTATTTTTTAATATTTTTTGTTGCAAAACCAAAAAGTTAAAAACGATTCTCAATGTCCATATTGTATTCATTGTGTTTCTTATTAACAAGTTTCAATCATGTCCAGGGAGGAATATCCAATGGTGAAACTATATACATGAAAGTTTGTTTTAAACCGACATCAACAATTGCGGTAAGTCATTCTCCACAATCCTTTTCTATATTGTTTGAATTATTCATGGAAACATTCTGAAACCGTTTATATTTCTCAATTTGTTCAAGGAAATGCAAAATGTCAACATATAGAGTTTTATTTTTCCGAGCAATGACATACATACCACCCAATTCCTATGTATTTACATAACTAACATCTAAAATTTACTTTTTACGTTTATACCACACAAAGTTTTCATATCACATAAAAATATTACTATTTTAACTTCTCAAAGGTGAAATTTCATGCATAAGATGATATGTATGTAAAAACCAAGGTTTATTTGTTAGATATTTAAATATATAGGAATTGAGCGGTATTTATGTAAATACTCTTTTATTTTTTCGAACACTGAGTGAATTTAATTGTAAACACATATATACACCTAAATACACAATGACTGGAGCCTACGATTTCAAAAGTGGAAACCGGAGCACTCAACTGCTAGTTAAAATTGGAATTCATTAAAGAATTCATTTTCTTTCATGGCTTAGCATATAGATTCCCGAAGTGATGGTTGAGGTCAAAAACTTTATTTCCTTACATTCAAATTGTTAAAAGGTTGGTCATTTCTTTTGCTCGTCAAATTTTATGGAATAATGAATGGGATGCATGGTAATTGTTAAGGCTATAAATGATTTGAATTTGGTTCGAGTCACTTCGGTCGACTAATGCTCAAGGTTGAGCTCAAGCCCAATTTTAATATTTTAAGTAATTATTATGATAGAGCAGATGATTCTAATTCAAACAGTTGCTATGATATGGAATTGATATAAGAAAGGCATTTAATTTTTGGAAGATTTGCATAGGTACCACTCAATTCCAATGTATTTACATACATTTGTCCTACCTTACCTATGCATGGTGTATTTTACTTTTTAAAAATTAAAATAGTATTATTTTTTATTTGATAAGAATGATTGGGATAGTATAAATGTAAAAAGTAAAATTTAGGTGTTAGATATGTAAATACATAGGAATTAGATGATATGTAAATGCCCCTTAATTTTTAAGAGCCTACTTGAACAGGATATGTTCTATAAAAATTACTGGTGCATCTTTACTGTTAAAGATGCAAGCAACCCACCATGGTTGATGACACATGGCCTATGTGTTAATGGTTGAGATCCTCTTTGTATGGATTGTAACTGTCAAGGATCGTTCCTGCTTGGCTTCGACCGGCTTGGATGGGCTTAAGGTTTTTTGACATATCAACTGACTTGGATGGCCTTAAGGTTTTTTGACATGTTATAAAAAAAGGGCATTTACATACCACCAAATTTACATGTACTTACATATCTAATACCTAGATTTTATTTTTTACAATAATACCGACCAAATCTTTCATATCACATAAAAAACAACATTATTCTAATTTTTAAAAAGTGAAATACACATTTTCATGCATAGGTATGGTGACATGTATGCACAACAACAACAATAACAAGCCTTTATCCAACTAAGTGGGGTCGGCTTCCATTGAGTCTTATTGAGTGTCAAATTTTTATTCAATTCTAATTGATTATGATCATTTTTTATACAACATGACCAAGTCTTTTTAGGTGTACTTATGGCTTTCTCAACATAAGTCAAATCTAAAACATCTACTCTCCTAACTGGATCATCAGATAGGCGAATTTACTAAGTCAAATCTACTAAGTGGGGTCGGCTACATGAATCTTTTTTTTTCCATTGAGTCTTATTGAGTGTCAAACTTTTATTCAATTCTAATATATTAATATCATTTTTTATACAGTATGGCCAAGTGTTTTTAGGCGCACTTTTGTCTTTCTCAACGTAAGTCAAATCTAAAACATCTACTCTCTTAACCAGAGATAGTCAACGTTTAATGTGATCACACTATCTGAGATTACTCTCTCTAATCTTGTCTGCCACTGGAGCTTTAACAACCCTTCACAGATAGATTCATTTTACATTTATTCTCCAAGCGTTAAGCCACTTATCCACCTAAGCATTCTCATCTCAAAAACATTTAACTTTATTTATGTTTCTCTTTTAAAGGCCAATATTCCGCGGCATAAAGCATTGCAGGCCTCACCATTATGTTATAAAATTTTTCTTTTAAGTTTAAGCGGTACTTTTCTATCACATAATAGGCCCGATGCATTCCTACACTTCAACCAACCTACTTCAATTCTACTAATAACATCCCCATTTATATCACGTTCACTTTGAACAATAGATCGGAGATATCTAAAACATTCACACTTTTTAATGATTTGATTGTCCATAGAAATTTGGTTGTTTGGTAAATACATAGGAATGAATGATATGTATGTAAATTTTTCCATATAAAAAATATATATATAAAACAAACTTATAAGTTGCCCGGCTCAGTTGCACCTCTATTAATTTGTTTTAATTATCTCTCCCCTTCAAAGAAACAAACCCGATCCTTCACATATATTGCCACCACTGTTGCAGACCTACCCATGATTATTTCAATTCCTTTTTGCAGAAGAAACAAAACACGGTGACTCGGAATCGCGAGGAAACTGAAATCCTCGCAAGGGGCCGTCATGATCCTTGCGTTCTACCTCGAGGTTCTGATCCTTGCGATCTACTCTCCTTTCCTTCATAATTCTCTGCGTTTCATCTAAATTTTGATTGCATCAATTCTCTTGCAGCTGTACCCATGGTGGAAGCCATGGCTGCTTTGGTTCTTGTAGACCAACTAATGGCTCAAATTGCACAGTGTGAAATGTTTCCTATCAATGCTGATCTCCAGCGTTCTGTTAGTGAACCTATCAGTGGTTCTGCAAAGATGCCAAGTGAATTATATCCTTCTGTTTAATGAGAGTTTCTTTCTTATTCTTCTTTCATGTAATTTAAGGATTTATATAAATTATAATGGCAGCAACTAATGGTAGCTATTAAGAGCTGGCTTTTTAGTGGTGCTTCAATGGTTATAGCAAGTCTATTTTACCAGTTAAATTTTTGTTTAGGAAGATTTACACAAATGTCACTCAATTCCTATGTATTTACATGTCTAACGACTCAACTTCAATTTTTACATGCATGCCACTTTAAATGTAAAAAGTGAAGTTCAGTTGTTAGATATGTAAATACATAGGAATTGGGCGGCATGCGCGTAAATGCCCCTTTTGTTTATTAATATTATTCCTCTTGGTGATAATATTGGTTAAGTGTAACAAAATCATCATATTTGCACATGATAGTGTGACTTGTAAGTTGTTAATTTTGTCTATGTAGTCTTAAGATTTTAGAGGAGATTTGTTTGAGAAGCTATGATTTAGCAATGCAATGTGGTGATGAGGCTTATCTAACATACAAACTTCAATATCCACCTGCATAAAAACTGGAATCTTTTATTGTCAGATAAAAAATCACTAAAAAGTGAAATGTGCCTTTTTGATGGACGCTGAAGTGATAAATATGGGTGTAAATGAGCAGAACACGTGCGAGCCTGGCCTTATGTCATTCGGCTAGTTACAAAATATTATTGTTCTTGTTTGGTTTGTTTATGTTTTGAACGCACAAAATTTGTTTGTATTATGATCGTTTGTTTTGTGAGTCAGACGAGCTATTCATGAATAAAGGGTTATATTCACAATCTTAGTAGAACACCCATAAGATATTGAGTATGAGTGATATATATATATATATATATATATATATATATAATTTATTTATTTTGAGACAATTTGAGCCAAAATGAGTTGAACAAGAATGATAAATTTTTATTCCTGCTCGGTTTATTTGCTTAGCAAATAAATTGAACACGAGCTTCTTAACAAGCCAAACATGAACTATTTGTGAATAAGGAGCTGAATTGGCAGTCCTAGTGATAACTTAAATATGAAAGTCTAGGCGTTATATATATAAATACATAAAGATTTATATCTTTATGCGGTTGGTATGTAAATTTCTTGAAAATTTAGTGACAAGTTCATTTGATTCAATGTTGTGTGATTATTAAGACTTCTTGTAAACCTTTGAATCCTTAAAATGAAACTTTCATAAATTTGTCTAAATAACAAAATTAAGAAGAAAATGGCAGTATTATTCTTGGTGTGATTCAAATAATGAAAAAAATTTATTATCTTAATGCATTAATCTGTCATTCAATAAGTACAAGTCTTAGCATGTACAGTAGTAGTGCTGCAACTTAAATAAATTTTATTTAGGTGTTTGATATGTAAATGTACGTGTTGAATTTTAAATGTATCAAGGGTTAGACCATAAAACAAGAGTGAGACATGAAATTTTAACATTAAACATGTATGGGTTTGCGTCTTGGCTTTTCTCTAACTCGATCGGTTGAGCTTGTTGGAGTTCGATTTGATAAGACATACTCGTTTGGCTATGTTGTGTCGATATTGTCGGTCTGCATTTGATTAACTTTGGGTTGGCATGACTGACTCGATAGATTTGACTTTGCTGGAAGGTTGATCCTAGTCTGATCTAGTGCAATTGTTGACCGTCAATCCCTATTAAGGAGCTCATGTTGGCTGAGCGATGCTAGAAAATAAATCAATGTAATCCGATAGGTGGCGCACTCCCCAACAAGGAGAGCTAAAGGGATGGTTTAGATTTCTTGTGACATGATTACCTCTCGATCCTTGATAAAAATCTTCTAGGACATCCAGAAGATGGCTAATGGCATTAAGGAGCTTAGTCTTTACTAGGGTTGGGGCTCAGGCTTACATGGTCGCGTTCAACTGGCTTTACCTATATTTTTGACTACCGCATCCAATTGATTAAACATCCCTTTTAATTTTAACAGGCGAGCCCTTCTTAATTGTACATTTTTGTCTTCTAGATTGTTAGATCTCCTCAAGATTCATGTCATCACATTCCAAATGTACAATAAAAATACAGTGGTATATATATATATATATATATATATATATATTACTACAAAAGGATTAAAACATTAGACGACAATTCTTCCCATTTCTTCCCTTTTAACAGAATAAAAAAAAGGTAAAAGCAGGCTGACTCTTCTTTCGTGGTCATTGAGAGGTAAAGGAAAGGGACGCTATCACGCATGCTCTCCACTAATTTTTAAACACAGTCCTCCAAAGAATTAAAACCCATTTGATCCTCTTATTTATTATTTTATTATATTTCAAACAAAAAATTAACATTATATATATATATATATGTGTGTGTGTGTGTGTGTGTGTGTGTGTGTGTGTGTGTGTGTGTGTGTGTGTGTGTGTGTGTGTGTGTGTGTGTGTGTGTGTGTGTGTGTGTGTGTGTGTGTGTGTGTGTGTGTGTGTGTGTGTGTGTGTGTGTGTGTGTAAATTAATTAGTCAAAGCTCTTTATGGTTTAAAAGTAAAGATTGGCATTTAAATCTTAAGTTTATTATTATGCCTAATGCCTTTATGACTAATGATGTTGAATGGCATGTTTATTCCAAATTTAATTATGACAACCTTAGTGTGAAAATGTGACCTTTTTTTTGTAAAACTTACTTTTTTTTAATATTGATTTGAATACTATTAATCAAGTCAAAAGCTAAGCATTTTACTATCATATTTTGGCATCAAAGATTTATGTGAAGCTTTAAAGTATCAAATTTTTGAAATAGCGTGGTCATGTTTCAAGGCACTTTTTAGAAAATTTTGAAAAAAAAGTTAAAATACATTGACATCATATTTTCAAGATACTCATGATGCAAATTCTCTCTTGGATAAAAGATATATTTTTTAAAACTTAACAAAAAAATTAAAGTTTTTGATGCTCAATGATTTGTAAACCTCTTGGGATTATGGAATGAGACCAATTTTGCTAATGTGGTTAGAAACTTATGTGCATTGAACATAGATCTTTTAGTTGAATAGAAAACTCTCTATCAACTCCACAAGCCTTGCACAAGTGCAGAGTTGGACCCAGGAAGGGTCTAGGAGACGCAATTGTCTCCAAGCAGGAACGATCCTTGACAGTTACAATCCATAAAAAGAGGATCTCAACCATTATTTATATGGGAGGACAATTTGGCTTATAATCTCTCCTAAAATATCATTTTGTCCTTCATTACCATAGCCCTTTCCCCCATTATATTTTTGTGTGTGCACACGCTCACACTTGTGTTTATATGTGTGTGTGTGTGTGAAATGATAAAATTGAAAATTAGATTTTATGCATAGGTCAAAGAACTTCTATTTCAATCTTAAGAAAATGAGTAGGTGGTTCAAGTATCAATAAATAAATGATAACGATAATGCTCATAATTCAAGACCTTATTTTATAAGCTTCCATTGATGTACTTTAATTTGATTATCATCATTAAAAAATATACAAGAAAAATAAGCTTAGATAATATTATTTTACACTTTTTTATATTTATGGCTATATCAACATATAAATTTAAGGGGGGTCTAATTATCATGTTTATTATTATTATTATCCTAAGATATGCTTGTTATGAGGGCAGGACCCATTCTAATGAATATATAAAGAGAATACTATGTCAAGATATAAATTTAATATTGGAGATAATATTTTAAAATTTTAACAACTAAATATATTGAAAACGAAACAAAATATTTTCTATCTTTTATTTACACTGAAAAAAAAAATATTTATATAGGGGCAATTTCTTTGCAAGCATTTATGATATATGTATATTTTAAATATAATTAAATTAATTGTATTTTGATTTCTTAAGATTAAAATACAAATATTTTCTTTTATTTCCTACTCATAATACATTAAATCATATAATTAAATATATTTTGAACCACGAATATTTGAAATCATAGATGGAAATAAAATATAGAAGCAATTCATGTGGCATTTTGCTTTTTTTTTTTTTTTGCAAATTTATTAATCCAATAATTACTTTTTGTAAATATAATTAATTAATCCATATATTTTCCATTTGGAGTTATTTTATTTTTATTGATATATTTTTTGATCAAATATTATAAGTTTTGGATTTATTTAAAGTGTCATTTGCATGCTTCAAATAATTGTGCATTATTTTATTTGTTTTAAAGTATGGCCCATCAAATATCGTGTAAAGTTAGTATATATTCATTTGAAAAATATTTCATTAATTATAATTAAATTAAAAACAAGGCAAATTAATATGTACCATTGAAAGCAACATCACAGGTCCGACCCCAACCACCAGCTATTCTTAGTCTAATCTGAATATTAAATTTAATATATATATATATATATATATATATATATATGGCATATTCCTTGAATTATGAGGAGCTTTGGAATTATTCAATAAATGCATATTTGAAATCAAAACATGATGGTGACAATCATCATCATAGAAAATTTTGGGTTAAATTTATCATTAAATTTATTTTGAGCTTAATACAATCTAAATTTTAACTAATAAATATATTATATTTATCTGAAAATAAATATAAATGTTATGTCACCAAAAATTATAGGATCAAACATGAATACTATGAAATTTTTATAAGAAAAAACTTTCGGAGTCAAACTCATGATCAAGTAAGCTCCGGTTTCATAACATTCATAATAAAAGTGAGAGCCTTGACAAGACCAACCCAATGATTCTAAAATTTATTCAATAAGAGTTCAATCAAGCCTAAATGAAGTCGTTGAAGCACAATTGAAGGCTTTGGACCATCGATTGAATGGCAAAATGAACTCTAAATTTGAAAATTTTATAATTGAATTGAGTATTTATATGAGAGGAATCCAACAAGCGTAAGATCGCTCAATTCAAATCTCATTAAGACACCCAGTCCTTAAAAAATCACTTATGATCAAGATGGATCAACATGGACCATCTGATCATGTGATTAGGGAAGTTATGCGTCAAAAGATCAAATGCTCCTCTCTGATAAGTTTTAAAAATGATCTCTCCTTTTGTTTCTGAGTTTAAAGTATGTTCTAAAGAGAAGACCAAACGAGTAACCGCCATCCTCCATAACCGTCATCTACTGTCGGCCATAAGTTTCAGTAGCCACCAGCTACTATCGACCACCGATCTCTGTCACTGCCTGCAGACGCCCTTCGCTAGCCCTCAACGACCGCTGCTTGCAACTATTAGCATGAATCCGTCTGTTGTTGAATTCATAACACTAATATTTTTTAGCAAAGGAAAGACAAGTTCTTCTCACTGTGCCCCGTTCTCCAAGTCATGAAAGAATAGTATATCTCTATGCTCACAAATGTACGAATTTTTCACATAAAAGTTATGTTGTCTCCCATCTTTATATTTTTATGTTTATATAATATTAATATGATAAATTACAACTCTAACCTTGTTAAATTAGTACTATGTAACATTAATTGCGAATGAGATGGTCTTTCAATGAAATGACTGTCGGCGCTATAATCCGTTCATAATAAAGTGACCAATTTTGTAAATTATATTTTTCTCACTTGTCGCTATTAATAATAGTAAGATGTCAATTATCACCCCATTTTACATGCAAATATCAAGTTCAAAATTCTCTTTAAATAAGTTACAAAAATACCTTTTTATATTTAAAATACTTTTAACTAATAGTTTGTGACTTCTTGACCTTCAAAATCTATTTTATTTAAAAAAATAATAATAATAAGATGTTAATAAATGTAAATATTAAGGTGTAGATGTTAGAAACATAAATATATAGAAATTGTGTGGTATATATGTAAATGCCCCCACCATCATAAAAAAAAAACAAAAAAGAGGCCCTACAAGCTTTGACCGACTATGAAATAAAAATAATAATAATATTATGCCATTGAAATCCCATCAAACTCTTAAATGTGTCCTTTTCAGGTCACAAAACATGTCTTTTGCTGTGAACTGTACATTTGACAATTAATAAATCCAATTTAACTTTTTATCTACATGATACATATGACTCATGCTCATTTATATATATATATATAGAGAGAGAGAGAGAGAGAGAGAGAGAGAGAGAGAGAGAGCATGGAGTGGCATACTAGCAATAAAAAATAAGGGCAGCATGGAGAAAAATAATACATAAATAATATGAATATATGTTTATTACAGAGAAATCCCTAAAGCTAAGAGACGGATAAAATCTTGTCAGGTGTATCTGTCAAACCTATCTAAAAAATGATGAAAGGACATTTATTAATGTGTTATTGAAAAACAACTCAAATAACACCACAATACCACAAGTATTATTGTTTTGCTTCAAGAATCCCGCAAAAAGAATTAGAATAACACTATAACAAAACCACAGTAACACCGGTGATCTGTGCCAATAACACCGCTCGGAGAACTACACAAATAACACCGTGGTAAAATCTCAATAACCCCTGCAAAACAACTCTAGTAACACCATTATAGCACCACAATAACATCCGCGAGCAGCTGCAATAATATTTAAAATATTATTGAAAGTATTGCGGTGTTATTTTATCAAAATACCATCACATACCATCAATAACACCTAAAATAATATCATTTGCATCTAATCCGGCCGCAGGCTCGTCCGGATACAATGTTTTTGGGTAAACATGAATGTCTGAGTGTTAGATATGTAAATACATAAGACTCGTGTGATATTTTTGTAAATACGGCTGACATAAATTCTAAAATTGGTTCAACCTCTGCACCACACAAGCATCAACTGGACTCATAAGTTATTCAGCTTTCCAAAAATAAATAAATAATAATTGCAATAAGGTTGGCAGAGGGTAGCAATCAACAAACCAAATTGAAGTAACCTGAAGATCAGCAAAAATATAAAAAAAAAAAATTTTTATTGCAAAAATAAATTACAATATTTACATAATTAGGCGAAATCGTTGAGCAGTCTTAGAAGCCTGCAAGCAAAGTTCGGTTTTAAGTACATGAGTTGGTGAGAAGCATGCAGCAAATTCCAGATGTATAAAAACCAATCACTGAAAAATACTCTCCGCTAATGTAACCTTGACTAAGACTGAAGAAAAGGCGAGATTTTTTTTTCTAAAAATGTGTTTTTTCATTGGAAGATTTGCATGCATGCCCCTCAACTTTTACTTTTTTACATATATATATATATATATATATATATATATATATATGTTAGATATGACTCATATACCAGAATTTGGAGTCTCTTGGAGTGAAGAAGTGTGTCTCTAGGAGATAAGTGGGTTGGGGGAGCGAGGGAGTGTTAGTAATTTTATTTGTGGATTTTATCTATATATATATGATGTGTAACCCTATGGGTATGTACTGGACTCATTTGAAATAGTGAAATTCGCCGCTCTGCTCCCAATGACGTAGACATTTTTACCGAACCTCGTTAAATCTCTGTGTTATTCTGATTTTGTGTCGATTTCTGTTTTTCTTCGCCCTAATTTCTTAATATATATATTCGAATTCAAATTGACACCTTCTATGAGATTTTGTTTTTTTGGGAATTATTATAAGAAAAATTAACACATGTTATAATCATTTTTGAAATCTTTGGCATTTATTATTATTATTATTATCATATTTTGTTATTAATAAGAATATTATACATGAATATGATTTCCTTTGTTATCCTGTCCATGTGCCTATATTGGGCATATATTTGCTGGTAATTGAATAAATATGTAGGCCCTTAGCCCTTCCACCACAAATCAAATTTTACAAAAATAGCAATATCCTGAAGACGACTGAGAAGGAAGTCACGAGTGGTAACAACTATAAAACAATTGAACAAACCCTAAACAAAAATATAAATTATAAAGAGCACATATATGAAGTGCTAAATGCCTAAATAGAGATCATTACAAGAAAGAAATAAATAATTATATAAAAAAAGAAAAAGTTAACATATTACAATACTATATATATATATATATATATTTTTTTTTTGGATAGGGTGAGCAAGCCAAGATATTGTTAGGGCTCCTAACAATTCGATTTTGAACTGAATTGGGGTCAGCATTAAATCGTTTTGAATGGATTGAGTGCGGCTCTAAATCGGCCGTGGCTCGTTATATTCGATTAGACCGAGCTTGGCTTGAAATTAAATTCAACTTGATCCAACTCTAAATCGAAATGACCGCACTCAAATTGAGCTATTTGAATCCGTTACAACTCGAAATCAAAACAAACGGGCTCAAATTGAATTATTTGGATCTGTTATAAGTTAAAATCAATTCAAAATCAGCTCACGACTCATTATATTTAATTTTATTTACAAACAGAATACTTGGAGCCGAGATCTTTGCATGGCTCAAAATAAGATAAAAAATTCAATTCAAAATTTTGGCCTGTTCCTTTATTTCGATCGGATCTCGATTCGAACTAAAATTTGAATCAATTATATAGCGAGTAATGATTTCCGAGCTAAATTTACAGCCCTACATATCAAAATGTGCTGCACGTTCGGACACTATGACACCAATATGCTTAGAGAGCATACAGAAAAACAAAAATGACAAAAATACCCCAAAAAAATGCAAAGATCTTCAGAACGGTAGCCTCGATTAAAATAAATACAAGATTGAGACAAAGATGGGGGAAGAAATTACATCAGAGATGGATTCTCTTTGTCCATTTCACAACATTTATGAATGAAAAATGACAGCCTGCCATGAAATACAAATATGGCGTTCACATACATACCACCCAATTCTTATGTATTTACATATGAAGCACCTAAACTTTGCTTTTTACAATCCCAAAATTTTCATATTTTCCTAAAAAAAGTGAAGTACACATTTTCATGCATAGGAAAAGTGGCATAGAAGTAAAAAAATTGAAGTTTGGGGGTTGGAGAGGTCAATACACAAGAATTGAGGGATATGCATGCAAATCATCTTTGAAAGAAAAAAGCACAGGATCCAGCAAATAACACCAGAAGGATCGATAAAGGGCTACTCAGGAAAAATCCCAGTTTTGAGCTTCGGAGATTGCTTGAAGGCTACAGTGGGAGCAATCCGGCAGCTCCGCCTCTGGTGCTCGAGCACAAGCTCCCCTGCAATCCAATCCAATTTCTCCATATTAGTCTGCTCGCTGATTCTTCTTCCCCCAAACAGAACAGATTCCACATTTTTCTGCTTCAGCATCTCCTCTGCAACATTCAGCAGAACGTTCACATTTGCAGAGCTTGGATCACTGTCGACATCAGCTCCACATCTCCCTGCACTTGGGCCGTTCGCCTGCAATCATGGCCATGGCCGACGGAGCTCAAAAACAACAGAAGAAGCATTTCCATAAATCAAACAAGTTAAAAGCCGGATCTTTGCTCGCTTCTGTTCAGAAATAATCAGAAGAGCATTGTTTGATCGAGTTCTGGTCCCATATGAGACAAAAGAGATTAATTTTGCTTTTAAAGGAGAGATGAATGATTGTGGTAATGAAAATACCGGAGAAAATGAGTACAGGACGAAGCCCCTGTTTCTCCACCACAACAATAGCCCCCCCTACCCCAGCAACTAATAATAGAATTTCGTCCAAAGCTATAAATGAAACGAAAAGATTGCATTTTTACCCCAAGCAGACAGTCGAACACATACTGGCCATTATTGATAGCAGAAACGACGAAAGCTTATCGTCGTTTCTCGCATTACCGACGACCACAACGTTGCCGGTTAGCAGAGAAAGGGGAAAAAGGGGGATGATGGTGTACCTGAATACGCATATAGTTTGCATTCCGGCACTCTCCGAAGGCCAACGAAACCGCATGGTCGACGAGATCGGCGGCGCCGTCGGAAGATATACGGGCTATTGGACGAGCCCACTCCTTCGCTCCCCATCGCCGGAGCTTCTGATGCTCTAAACGGCTGCCGGAGGTTTTCGGCAATGAAGCTGCGGCGGCTGCCCCGCAGCCGAGGGAGAGAACCATGAGATCCTCGACTCCACGCACGAAAGGGAACTCCTGCTTGTTGTGGAGGACGTGAGTGATGGCCGCAGCTGTCGGATTGCTCATCGCTAGGCCGCCGTCGATGCCTATGCAGTGGGTGGAGCGATCCACCGACAGCATATCAATCGGCTCAAAGCGGCCTAGCTCCGCCCACGTTGCCCTGCAAACTTCCCAGAGTCGGAAATCAAAGCTCTCGTTTTCTAACGCGTCAGCGCGGGAAAAGACGAGGGGAGCCGAGCTATGGAGGTCGTAGCAGGGAATGAGCACTGGTTTCAACGTATCACGGAGCGTGAGCGATTCCCCGAACGTTTCCTTCATCGCCATCTCCATTGCTTTCGTCATTTCAGCCATTACCCTACGACAACCGCTCGGGAAGACGCAACGGAGGAGCGCCGGAGATGAAGAAGAACGCTTACGGTAAAAGCGACGACCTTTATCCACGAGGATGCGGTAGGTGTCTTCTGCGCGGAAAGCAGGGCGAGAGTTGTCGCGAGTGGCGAAAAGCATAGCGGTGAAGAAACCCCCAACTCCAGTTCCGGCAGCGAGATCAAAGTAGTCGGAGATCCGAGCATTCGAATCGCCGGACTTCGATTGAAGTGCTTTCTCCAGGTATGCTAAAACTTTACCAGGGAGAATGCCGCGCATTCCCACCCCACCGCCGCCATCGATGCTGAGGATACATACCTTTCCTCTCTGAGATTTGATCGCTGCGGCGCTATCGGAGATAGTAGATGCAGCGGCCGGCGATTTCGGAACACAGAGCTGGTGAGCTTCGTCGTACCCGAATAGAAACTTGCTCTCGAGAATGGAGAATATCTCGTAGCTAAGCTTGTCGGTGTCAATGCTGGGTTCCTCCTCTCCATCCTTGCTCGACACCAACATCTCCTCTGCTGCGGCCATACGCGCCTATCTTAAAAAATCCAAACAAAAGGAACATAAATGAGAAATCAGTAACCGCGCTCGCCTAAATTTAACATATTTCGTTGCAAATCAGCTTCAAAATCTCAACTTGGAAATAAGTTGAAACTACCTTTCCTTCCCTGTCTTTCTGGTATTACCCTCTCCCACTGACCCTCATCTTCCCCTGCTTCTTTTCTACAAACACCTCCGCCTCAAAATCTCCGAAGCAGGGAAACTTCCACTCCTACGGCCGGAAGTCGTCTTCTCCCCTTCGCCCCTTTACTTTCTCTATAAGAACAGAGCACGCGCACAGAGAATGGCGAGCTAAGAGAGTAAAAGTAGAAATAGAGAGAGAGAGAGGGAGAGAGAGAGAGAGAGAGGAGAGGAAGGAAGAGGAAAAAGAGGGAACTGATGAGACGCGGTTAAGAGGCGCAAAACGACACAGGTGATTCAGAGCATGTCTTACTCCGTGCTCATATCCGATGTCGCCACGACAATTACAGCAGCTTCATTGCCCCTCCTACCCTCCTCTCTCTCTCTCTCTATCTCTAAAACCCATTGTTCCTCTCTCTACCTCCAACATTGTTTCTCTCTCCCTCCCCACTTAAGACGTCTTAGGTAATTAGTTATTATAATAAACAAAGAGAAAGTGATTATAAATTGATCGCGGCGGTTGGTGGGATTAAAAAATGGCTGATCCGACGGCTAGGATTCATTTTTGGCTCTAGTTGCCTCGGGTTCTTAACTCTTTCAGCGACTACTGTGATCGTGAGCCTCGACGCCCTCGCCACGTTTATGTGGTTTTTTGTAAATAATTAATCGTTTAATTACATGTACAAGAGATAATTAATTGTTTAATTAATGTACAATAGAACTCGGTATATACCCCATAATTTTTTACATTCTATATCTAAAATTTCAAAGTATATATATATCATTAATATTAATTATATTCGTGATTTTAACATAAAAATATTATTTAAATAATAGGTTAATATCAAAAAATATAAAATATAAAATATTAAATATGTAATTACTTAAAAATGATGTGGTATGATAGTTGTTTGGAACATTCATTTAGTTATGTGCTACGAGTTTCAGAACGACTATTTTTTTAATGTTTATGAAAACATTATTTTATATAATGAAGTGTAGAAATATGTGCTCATCAGATTTGAAATTAATGTGGAAAGTGAAGGAGAAAATGGATCTAATATATATATCTTGAGGAATGTTCATATTATACCATTCTTTTAATTATTCACTTGTGCTTTATATAAAATTAATTTATCAAGATTTACATACATACCACTAAATTCCTCTACACAAACATCTAACACTTAATTTTAACATACATGCCATCTTATCTTTCTATCAAAGTGTTTATTTTAACATATATGTCAGATTACTAATTCATTTGACTTTTCAATTATGCATTAAAAGCTTCTCAAAGTAATTTAACTCGGATTGGACCAGTTTTGGTAGCATCAGATCCGTCTCGTCGAGCCAGTCAGTTTGACTGTAAATTTCTTGAAATCAAAGTTTGAACATTTTTTTCTGAAAAAATTATATCGAGATTGATTCATTTCGTATGATGGAAGTTTGTTAAAGGTTTATCGATGATAATAATTACACCGTTGATAACATATTATTTCATGACTTTGACTAAAAAAGTTTAGAAGTATTAATTTGGGTAGATGGGCAGGATTAGGACATGATCTGACCCAAACTTCCCCCATTTACCGTTTAGAAAGTATCCAACTTAAATCTTCAATTTGATTGACACAAATCCAACTCATTTAATACAAGGCATAAGTATCATTCAAATTAAATTTTAGTTAAATTTAATCTAAATCGAAGCATTTCGAGTTAGGTTCAGGTTAGATTCTTTTTTGACATCTCTAGGTCGAGTTAGTTGCAACTTGACATCACTCATCAATTCAAACTCAATAATAAATCATGATATTTGTTGGTTGATTTGTTCTGCCTAAAGTTTTGTTTTGATCAAATTGGTCAAAACTTGAGATGATGCAGTCAAAATGATAATGCAAATTTTAGGAGCATTTGCATACATATTTTTACATATCTCACACCTAAACTTTGATATTTACACAACACAATTCTTTAACATCACATCAAAATTGCATTATCATCATTTTGTAAAAGTATAATACACATTTTCCATGCATAAGTTTAAAAACGCTAGTTATGTTATAGATATGAAAGTTTAGGTGAGATATGTAAATACATAAGAAGTGTGTGCTAGTATGTAATTTTCTTAAAAATTTAAATAGAAGTTGGCTAGGTTCAACTAACTTAAACGTCTTCCCATAGAAAAATTATTGCATACGGACATCCAATCTACACCGTAGATCACAGTGATATACGGTGAGGATGCAATCAAATTTTTTATTTTTTATTTTTAAAAATAAAAAATTTAAAGTAAGTCCACCGAAATGCATCCTCACCGTAGGTCACCGTGATCTATGGTGTAAATCGGTCACCACATGTAGGACACCACATGCATCTCTGCATGCACGCGGTATCCGTATGCAATAATTTTTCCTTCCCATGAGTCCCATCAACCCGTTGTCTGCTGGTTTAGATTCACCAGTATTGAATGGCAGAACATCCAATAAAATGGTAGGGTTTAAATCTATCAGCTTATAGCATCGAATGACTTTTTAACTCTAAGAGGGTGAAATTCACATTTCTACGCATGGATGAGTTGGCCTGTTAAAAATTGAAGTTCAGGTTTATATATGTAAATACATAAGAATTAAATGATATGCATGTAAATCTTCCTCTCTTCTTTTTTTTTTTTAATGATGAGAGTCTTCAATAAAGTAAAATTATAGAGAATCCTTATTAAAAATACATATGACAACTTCTAGGATCTAGCGTTAAAGGAGAGAAGAAATATATAAGAAAAAATAGAGCCAATGATACATACTCGACACCCTTGCATCTTATGACAACCCATTGCCCATTCCATCACAACCCCCCAATTCATTAATACAAAACATCATAGATAAATATTAAGTATTGTTGAGCGTCGAAAGATTCACGATGATAAAATAATAATTCAACGTCTTAGATTTAGCCAAAGATCCAAATAGCTAAATTTGGATCTTCGATCATAGTCGATTGCTATGAGGTAATGGTTTGTCATGAATATTATAGACGATGGTTGTAACGCTAGCTTGTCGTAGAAGTTGTAGTTTAAAGTCGTGCTAGCGGTTGACTATGTAGGTAACAAGTGCTACAACAACGATAATATGGAGCTATGATAGCGTCCCCACACCACAAATGCCGAGTTGAGAGCTGCATGAGTTGGGAGCCATGTAAGTGGTGATTGGTCATATAGGTTGTTGCGGGGAAATATAATAACATCTAAAGAGCATAGATGACAGAGTTGGGAGCTGCATTAATGTATGTAGGCCATAGAGTGAGAAGTTGGGACTGCATGAACCGTGAAACGTTCATAGTCCACAAAGGTCGGAGTTGGGGATCTGCACGAGCTGTTAACCATGTAGGTCATAATTAGTCACATAGGTCAAGATAATGAGATTTAATAACCTCTGTAAGACATAGAAGTTTGAGTCGAGAGCTGCATGAGTTATAGATCATGTAGGTCATAGTTGGTCATATATACCATATTAGAGAGATGCCATGAGAGTTTAGAGAAAGTCATTGTATTCTGAGTATGACGATTGTAAGCAATTATTGCAGAGAGTTGCATCGTATTCGGAGTGTGTTGTTATACTGTCATCGGGGTGCGTTGTTGTATCATATTTAGAGTGCATTGTTACATTATTTGTGGGGCCCGTCGTTGCATGGTATTTGAGGAGTTTAATTGCATCAAATTCAATGTATGACATTACACCATCAACGAGAGTGTGTTGTTGCATTGTATACCGAGTGCATTGTTCCACCACATTTGAGGCACATTTTTACACTTTATTCAAGTTGCGTTGTTATGTCCATGTACAAAGTGCGTCAATACATCAACTGCGAGATGCATCGTGACCCCACAAGGGGCTTCGTTGCAATGAGCAAGGAGCGATTGACGGTCGTCAGCGGCTATGGAAGCGTTCATCCAGTCTTCAATCCAGAAGCACACTTCAATTCGCCTTTTTCCCCCACTCTAGCTTCAGGTTCCTCTTTGATAAAAATGAAGGGCTCTATTTATAGAATTTGAGAGTATCCTCCAAATAAACAAGAAAAGAATCTTGACAACTCTATCAACAGAGAGAATCCCATAATCAAACGACATTTAATGAGCATTTTAATGCCTTATTGATGTCGATAAACGAGTGATCTTGGCCTCGTTGGATTTGTCTCATCAAGACGCTCAATTCGACTATGAGCTCCTATGATTCGGAATCCATTTGACCTTTCGATTAACCAACCAAACCTTCCAATAAAAGTTTATTAGCTTGATCCGAGCTTGATTTGACTCAATTTATACCAATTACGGTGTTATTGAGTCCGTCTAGTCAAGTTGATTGGTTTAGCTATAATTTTGCTACAATCATAACTTGTCTTATTTTTAATTTGAGTTTGAATGTTTCTTGCTCAAAAAAATGCTCTGAGATTCATGCCAAATGCAAGATTTGTCGGCTATGTATCAAATATAATTTTAGAGAACATAAGAAATAATATGTAAATAATACTGGTTAATTATAAAAACAAGCGTAATTAACCTTAATTTCTAAGACACATGCAACATCCCCCCCCCCCCCCCTCCCCCCTCCTCCTACCCAACAATTCATATGCATTTAAATATCTAACACCTAAACTTTCCTTGTTATATTTATACCGCTCAAAACTTTCATATCACATCAAAAATACTACCATTTTAATTTTTAAAAATTGAAATACAACTTTTCAGACAGACAAGGTGTCATGTAAGGAAAAAAATCAAAGTATAGGCGTGAGATATGTAAAGGAATCGAGTGTTATGCATGTAAATCTTCCAAAAATATATACATATACCATAACACACATCCTTCAAGGCTTTCTAACCATGGTCAATAAATGTAGAAAATAATTTTTAAAAACCTTAAATCAATATCGTACCAAATTGTCCCAACAGTGGAAAACAAACCCTCGCATGCTGTAAAGTTGGCCAGACAGTCACTACATACTCTGCAAGAACAGACACAAGCTGTTCTACACACATGAAACTTTACCACTGTACCAGATATCACTGCTCATTTCACCGAGACGGCCAGTCATTAAAAAATAAAACAAACTTGAAACAGATTAAAATTTAAATATGTGTTTATTAAAAATAATTAGAAATCTATCACACTTAATTTAAGTTTAGATGTTAGATATGTAAATATATAGGAATTGAGTGGTAAGTATGTAAATTTTCCTTATAATAAAACAAATAGATAAATATAAGAAATTTCTAAGAAGAGCTTCATTTATTAGTCCAAAATTCAGTCTACTCTCTCTATATCCCAAGCTTTAATGTCAACAGCACCACAAAGAATATGTAATTAAATTATAATGAGCTGGTAAAGCAAGATGAAAAAAGGCTCATAAATCAGGTAAAAAAACTATAACTCATCTTTCAGATCGGTTTTGTCTCCGCCCTCATGCTTAGGATCCGAAACCGCCTCTGTTTTCGTTGCTGAAGCTGGTTTCTGGAGCTTGAATGGAATTGAAGCATTTTTCTTCAGGAATTTGTAAAACGCCACCACTGTGCGCTCCGTATCAACAGTGATCTACCAAAAACATATTTATAAGAAAATTTCATAATTCAGAATCACAATTTATTAATAATGTAATTACAGTAATAACAATAATTCAGGATCACTGTAAAGCCGCCAGATATTTATTTTCGAAGTAGATGAAAGATTCGTTAAGGGTTAAATGTAGAGTTTAAAATCATTTACCGGATCAAAACTCTTGTTTCCAGCTGGAAAGAAGAGGAGTGTGGGGAAACCATCAGACTGAAACATGCAAACAAAATTTGTAATTTAGAATTTGTAAAATTAAATTCACTATCATTCATCGCCAAATCTTTGAATGAAAAAAAGTATTCACATATCATATACCTGAAGTTTAATTTTTACCTACATACCACCTTATCTATGCATGAAAAAGTGTATTTCACTTCTTAAAAGTTGTATAACTGTAGCAGATAAGACTTTAGGTGTTAGATAAGTAAATAAATAGGACTTGAGTGTTATGTATGCAAGTGCACGACAAAATTTATTTTCACTTGAAATTTCCTCAATAAAATAAAAAATAGGTGGTTAGCATGATTTTATAGAAGGTTGAGATCAGATGGTCCACAAACTCAAGCAAAACAACAAAAATGGGATTGTTACATGTGCTCAAGTAGAGGACTTGAACACAGCTGTCAAATAGATCATGGATTTTTTTTATTTTATTTTTTTTTGAAATGTTGACTGCCAGAATCACAAATTTGGCAAAATTGATATAGAAGGGATTCAACGGTTACAATCAACATGAGTTGTTTGAACAAAGCAAAAAACTAGTCAAGAAAAACTTTAATTAAAAAATAAGGGGCATTTCTTACACCTAAAATATCATATTTACATGCATAACACCCAAATCTTTAACATAACATAAAAAATACGACTCTTAACTAATTGTTTAAAAGTGAAATACATCTGTTCATGTATAGGTTTAAAATCTCAAAATGCTATAAATATAAATATCAAACATTGGGTGTGGGATATGTAAATAAATAAGAATCGTGTGGTCAGTATGTAAATTTCTCAATACAAAATAAATAAAGCCAAACCTTGGCCCGAGGGTGCTCATTTGTGGTCCCATCCATTTTTGCTATAACAATAGAGTCGATGCCTCGAAGATGCTTGGCAAGTTTGTTGTATGTTGGTTCCAAAGCTTGGCAATGCCCACACCATGGTGCATATATCTGGTGCAAAGTTCATTATAAGGTTCTATTGAAAAAAAAAAATGACGATTGAGACCATGGATGTAAATATTAAATTTAGATTAACCTCTAGAAGAACATCCTTCGACTCATCCAAAACTATTTCATCGAAAATATTTCCGACTACTATTTTCACATCACCATGATTCTGTGCAACAACATCAAAAAATCAAATGGCGTAGACGATGAGTTTAAAGCAATAGGATGGGCTAAAGGAAAATAATTGTTCCAGCATACAGTCTCAGGAATCTGATCTGATTTGTAGAATGGCTTGAGCTTATCCTCCAAGAAATCTTCAGCAAAAACCTAGAAGAAAGAAAAAATATTGTTAAAAATGCCGAATTAAAATAGAAAAAAGCAGTTGAACATCATAAATGTCCTAATAATTGGGCTCACATGACAAAAAGGGCTGTTAAAAGATCTTGTTATTCGCGAACAACTCATGTTTGAATTATTAGTTAAGTATTCGAGTTGAACACGAACAGAGTTTCTAAGCTCGAGTCATAAACGAGAACACGAACAACCATTTATTCAATCGTGTTTAACTCATAATAAAGAAATTACAAATATTATTTATATTATTATTATTATATATATATATTATATATATATATATGTATGTATGTATGTCTCCTAGTGTCGGCGTAAAGTATTGAAGCTAGCGAGAAATAAATTATTTTCAAAATTCTACATGATATCATAGCAGAGAAATCTTTTGTTCGCATTCGAGAACTCCTCTTCCATCCTATTAAAGCATTCAGGCGTTCACTGCGTCTTCAACGCTTATGTACACACGAGCCCTCTTCTCTTTATATGCATAAGGTTTTTACTTTGTCTTCGGCTCTTCCACTCAAGATGCTTCATCTCCTCACGAACGAGATCGTATGGCTTGACATTCGACTCTTCCACTCGAACAGAGCGCTTCGTCCAGTTGATTTGTCACTTCTGCTCAAACAAAATACTCCCTTTTATTGATTTAGAATCAAGCACATCACAATATATTCCTCTTTAGTTCGCTACGTTTGGCTAAATCAAACGGCTAAATCAACAAAAATATTTGGCTTCTGTCATTGATTCGGCTTGTTCTAGCCGACATCTCATAGGTCACCGACTTGAAAAAGGTTTGATCACCTCTCATTAAATACCAAACGTGAGGAAATCAAGAGTTGCACACCTCCCTCTAGCTCAAGTTTGCTCATCCAGCCGAGCAATCGAAGTAAGGATCCTCCTCTTGCTTTTGTTTAAGCAATAGGCTTACTCAAATTGAGCTTCACAGCAGTAGGTTTACCCAATTTGAGCTTTACAATATTATCATAGACATACATGACACGCTTCACAATCTTCTTCCTTGAAAGTCACATCCATATTTGAGCCTGCGACTTCTATCTCTATCATGTTTTCCAACAATAATTCAGAATCTAGTAGGTTCACCAGAAACAAATTAAGGCACCATAGAAAATTTTTAGTATAGTTCTAATTCTGAACAAGCATCACAATCTTTTGTCGAGCAACCTATCAGCTGGTGTGCAGAACAAGGCATCTTATCCCATGTTTTTAGTTTCCAAAGCAATAAATTAAAACCTTAAATAGCTGACTTTATAACCTCAAATCATATAACGGGAGATATCAACTTATTCAAAAATTACAACTCATCTACCATTCACTCTGCAGTTCAAATAATTGATGGTTCATTCTCACAAGTAGCGGAAACTGGATCAGTCGAATTGACAAATGATCTTCACCTATATTCTATTCTTTATGTTTCAAAACTAAATTGCAACCTACTCTCAATCACAAACTTACTCGTGACCTTAAATGCGTTACTAAACTTTATTTCAATTATTATGATTTTCAGGTTATGGAATCGAAGAAGGTGATTGACAATGCTGAGATGCATGATAGTCTATACTTTCTCAAAGAAAATAATTTCATTGATAGGCAATGTCATCCATCAAGTTGTATTTCTAAGTCTAATACAATTTTTGTTTCAGTTGAAAGTAATACGATGTTGAGTCATTGTCGTATGGATCATCCAAATTTTACATACATAGAAAAGATGCTTTCACATTTATTTATCCCAAAAAATCCAATATTTTTCAATGTAAAACTAGTCAACTTGCAAAATATATCATATATGTATATTCCAATTTGCAATACAAGCCTTCACATCCTTTCTCTGTAATTCATAGTAATAGTTGAAGACCCTCACAAATAAGTAATATAAATGAGGTACAATGGTTTGCATTATTCATAGATCATCACACAACAAAAACATGGATATTCCTTATGAAAGAAAAATCGAAAACAACCACCACATTTCAATCCCTTTATTCCATGATTCTCACTCAAATCCAAAGAAAAATTCAAAATTTTAAAACTGATAATGCTAAGGAATATTTTAATTCCATTCTTAGTCCTTATTTTTCCAAGCATGGTATTATCCATTAAAATTCTTGTGTGTATACTCACAAAATGAGGTTACAGAAAGAAAAAATATATATATACTTGAGGTGACCCGCACAATTATGTTGTTTAATCATGTACCTAAACATTCTTGGGGAGAAGCTATTGTCACAGCTATATATTCCATCAATAGAATGCCTAGTCGAGCCTTAAATTTTTAAATTCCTCATAATGCTCTCATGACATCTCTTTTTATTCTAACTTACCATTTTATTGTTCTATCGTTGTTCACAACCATCAATAAGACCGCACCAAATTTGATCCCAAGTCTTCTAAAATGCATTTTTTCTTGGTTACTTATCCAATCAAAAAGGGTACGAGTACTACACTCCACTATTAGGAAAATATACAACTCTATGGATGTCAAGTTTTTTGAGAAACAATCTTATTTTTCTAAATCTAAAATTCAGGATGAGAACCCGAGAAAATATCATATTTGAGATTTTCTTGGAGATATCTCGCCAATTATCCTTTAACTGAACCAAATCATGCCCTCCAACAAGCTCCACTTGTCTCTGCTCCACCTCAACAAGCTCCACTTGAAGAACCAAACTCTATCACAAAAGCAGTCTCGATTTTCTCTACTCCACCTAAATATGATACCAATGCTAAAGAATTTTGTGTCTACACCAAAAGGGCCACTGAGCATGTAAAAAACAGTATGCTGACTCAAGACTATCAAGAGCCTGAACCAAGTCCTCCACAATCATAATGCTATGAAAACCTCAACTCATGACTCTCTTACACTAATGAATTTAATCGGCCAATTGCACACAGAAAAAGTATCCGAGGGTGCACTGGTCATCCAATTGAAAGATACGAGCCTATGGGAATTTGCTACCTTCTTACGGGACTTTTGTGACAAGCTTTGATAAGATAAAGGTTCTCAACTCTATTCAAGAGGCTCTGATGAGGTTTCATCATGGAAACAAACAATTGAAGAAGAAATTCAGGCTTTAGAAAAGAATAACACATGACACTTAAAGAGTTATCACATGAGAAAAAAACTGCAGGCTGCAAATGAATATGCAATGTCAAATACAAAGGAAATGGAACTGTAGAGAGATTCAAAGCCAGAATGAATTCCAAAGGCTTCACGCAGTCATATAGGATTGACTATCAAAAAACATTTACACCTAGTGCCAAAATTATGATTCTGGTTTTACTCTCACTTGCAGTAAATCAAGATGGGTCTTTATACCAAATTTATGTCAGAAATGTCTTCTTGAATGACAACCTTGATGAAAAAGTCTACATGGCTGGAGGAGTCTACATGGCTATACCTCCAGGCTTGAAAAATAAGGAAAAAAATGGGTAAGTTTGCAAGTTGAACAATTCCTTATACTGCTTAAAGAATTCTTAGGATATGACAATTCCTTATAGTGCTTTTTTGTAAGTTTGCAAGTTGAACGATTCCTTATCTCAAGTTTGACAAGTTTGTTAACGCAGTAAGATTACAAATGGATGTCATCAGTGTCAAGTTGAACATATATGTTGGTTAAATCAAAATTCTAACTGAAAAATTGTCATATTCATAATATATGTAAATTATATTATCTTGATATGTGATAATTCGGAGGAAATTATCAGAGAAAAAAGAAAGCTTACAATATAATTTGAGAACAAAGATCTCAAGAATCTTCAATATTTTTAGGGAATGGAAGTGGCTATGCCTAAGAAGGGAATTGTCATATCCCAAAGGAAGTAGATCTTAAACCTGTTAAGTGAAATTGACATGATTGGATGTAAATCTGCTGCACTCGTATGAATTCCAACAAAAGGCTGAAGAGAAGTGAAGAAAACAGCCCTGTTGACAAAGAAAGATATGAAAGTTTTCAAAACATACTATTTTCCTATCACACACAAAACCTGATATTGCATATTCAATCAGTGTAGTACGCCAACAGAGAATAACCCAAATGAGAATCATTTGGAAGCAATGAATAAAATTTTGAGATACTTGAAAACAAGTCCTAGATATGGTTTTTTCTTCAAAAGATTTGAAAATCATCTGATTGAAATATATACAGATGCTAGTTGAGCAAGAGAGGTAACTGATAGAAAATGAACCACAAAATGTTTCATATGTCCGGGGCAATCTTCTCACGTATAGAAACAAAAAAGCAAGATGTCTCTCAGAGTAGGCAAAATCCGAATATCATGCTCTTACCTTAAAAGCATGCGAGGGAATGTGGAATCAAATGATATTAAGGAAACTTAAGGTTAGGGCTGTCAAAACGGCTCGTCGTTCGCGAACATTTGTTAAGCTTAACGAGTTGAACATGAACAAACTTTGTTCTGCTCGTTCGTTAAGCTTTACGAGCTGAACATGAACAAAATTTTAAGCTCAAAATATTTGTTCGCTCGTGTTCGACACGAATTGGCTTGAAAATAAATAAATAAACTAATAAATAAAAAAAAATTATAAATATACTCAATATATTGCGGTATTATTGGTGTTATTTCGCTGAATAACACCAAGTAACACTCGAATAACACCGCGGAAGGAGTTATTCCGCAGTGTTACTCGATGTTATTCCTTCGAATATGTTCTACTAAGCATATTTCGAGTCGAACACGAACAGGGATATGATATTTGAGTTGAGCACGAATACAATATTCACAAGCCATTTCAAACAGAGCCAAGGCTCAGTTCACTCAAGCTCGGCTCGATTATAGCCCTACTTAAGCTTGAGATGAAAAACACAATTAAGATGTTCAACGATAACCAAGAAGCTACTAGTATAGAAAATCTTGTGCATCATGACAGAACAAAACAAATCAAAATTGATCGACACTTCCTCTAAAAAAAGTTATTAATGAAATTATTCAATTCAGCTATG